ATAAATAGAAGGCCAAGGCAATGTTGGATGTCTGATGGAGTGAGACAAGTTTATCAAATAACTCCTTGGAGCTGGTGAGGTCTCCAGTCCTCATTAGGAGGGCATCAGAGATGTGGTCCTATGTGAAACTCAGCTGCTGCCCAAGAGGCTATAGAAACGACTGAGGTATTTCTATACTAAGCCCCCTACTAGTTATAGTTGGAGGTGCTACTCGCTACAGTATAATGACTCCTAGGAGTACAATTGTGCTCCTAGGAGAACAATGGTTACTCCATGGAGTGGTGGCTATGCTCCATGGAGAACAATGGCTGCTTCGGCAGAGACCAGGTTTATCCGGTTTTGTCAGTGGATTGGTTCAGATTGTGAGCTATGGATTGTCCACAAATCCCATATAAATGCAACAATATTCTCAAAAAGTAAATGAAAAGGATCAATTGGGAAAAAAGAAGGATGAATAAATGCTGGGCTTGCTGCTGCTAGAGGCATGCGAGAAATTCCTGTTTCTCTTGTGATTTTAGCACGAAGATTTTTGACTGTAGTATCATTGAGTTGATTGATTGTACTCCAATAGTGCTCTTCAGTACGCATTGGCAAATTGTCCAGGTTGTATGTGGGGCGCTCACTGTTATACTTCTGGTTTTCTGGTGGTGATAATGGATAGTACTGAGCCTTAGCACCTTTTTCAAGACTGGATCTGGCCCCTTTGATTAAAACAAATCTATCACCATAATTTGCAGTATGTCCAGCCATTCCATTTAACTTTGCTGAGCCTAACATATCTCCCAGTATCATAGACATGTACATGCGGTTTATGAAGTAGGAGGAATCTATAGCATCCCACATCCATATGCCTTGACTGCATTTTGCTGCATCTTGAAAAAGGGGATATACAAATGATTCAATATTTCCTGGACTTTGGGGTCCTGGAATGGCCATAGTTAATATGATATTGTTAGAAAGGTACCTCGATTCTGGAGGGAGGTTGAGCAATATCAGAATTAATATCCAAGTATCAGACTGTTTCTTCATAGTAAGCTGAGCACCATCAGTAGATAGTGCAAAAGCAATGTCACGTTCATCCTGAAACAACCCCATGTTTTTGTAGTGATGTTCATGAACACTTCCACTGGGGAAGTCAGAATATCTTGCCTGAGCCTGCACCCCAGAACTTTGAGATCCAACTGCAAGTAACTTTAGTGTTTCTTGTAAGTATCTATCTCTGTATCGCAGGAGTTGTGATGATTGCTTGTTTGCAAACATTGCTTGAATGATTGAGATAAAAGATACATATGGCATTTGTGCTCTTGGCTTAGGTTTAGATCCAGCAGTGTAGCGCTTCTCTCCACATGCAATCCGGCCCTTTATAGTGTGAGGACAAGGTTTCAAGTCCTTGAAGTCCCCTGTATATGCAATACAGCTCCTTGGGCACATATCAATCTTTACAGGCTCAACCTTGGCCAGAGATCCGGCCAGCTTGCAAACAGCATATAGTGACAATATGTCTAACTGAGTAGCTTGTTGTAATACCTGTGCATGCAGTTCATATGCCTTGACAGTACCATTTGACTTCTTCCATGCAATGTAGTGTTTGAGGCTGTGGATCTCTAAATCTGTTAGGCTGCTTGGCTCTGAAACAGAGGATGGGGGAACAACTGGACACTTGTATCCATCTAAGAGTTTTGCTTGCAGGTCCCTTTGAATAGGAGGATAGTTGGCAACAGTACTATTACTGTGGAGTATATGAGGATTCTCATCATCCAAGTCAGCATCAGCACCATAGCTGGCTGGATCATCCTGGTTGCTATCAGTATTATCACTCTCATCATCAACAGCAGCATTATGGCTGGGTGAATCATCCAGAATATCATACTCCAAGTCTGGGAATGTCAATGTACCCTGCTCTCCAGCACTTTGATCATTATCCTGGATGCTATCAGCATCATCACTCTCATCATCAATAGCAGCACCATAACTCGGTGAATCAACTCCACTCTGGAGGATATGAGCATTCTCAGTACCATAGGGGGGCAAATTATTCAGAATATTATCCTCTACACCTAGGAATGTAAATATATCCAGAGAATTTAGCATACAAGGCAGAATAAAAGCAAAGATCATACCTTGATCAGCTTGAATATCAAGATCTACATCTGTGGATTGTGTGCCAGTACTGGCAATATTATCTGAAAAATGGATGTCAGCTACACTTGTATGTGCTTGTAGAATCACATAAGCATACTGTCTTCAACCTGGTTATCAACTTGTGCATCTTTTGACGAAGATTTCGACAGAAATTCAGTATTCATTCTAATGCACAGCTCTAGATGTGTCTTGAATGCAGATGCATGATTTGGTGTGTTCAGAAGTTTCATATCAGCCTGCAGATGGCTATAAATTGTCCTTTTACTCCTGTCCTTTGAAGGAAAACATTTGGTACAGTAGCAAAGCATTATTGTGAGGTGGGGAGAGTGGACAAAACACAATTGCAACCCAACGCTGTGGTGCATCAGATAAGAAAGCGCCCAAAGAGGAAACTGACTATTAGATATTTGTTGCGTGAACACAGGCTGCTTGTTGCTTGCCACATCGACAACAATTCTACATACTATGGACCCTCTGCAGCCTTACAGCAACCCACTGTCATCAAGTCTGTATTATAGTAAACTTTCCTCATTCAAATTCCACTCGTTTAGTACGACTAATGACATTGTTTTTCTCCAAGTTCCTCCTCTCGATGCTACGTCTTCCCCACAGCCCACAACCTCAGCCCCATCGATTGCAGTCAACCCACTCTTGATCAAATTGCTCAGCTCTGAGGACCTTCTGAAAAATCGTCACTTCAGCGACACAGTTCAAAAGTATCAAATTGCGGTGTCATGCACCAAAGAGTTGATTGGTAGCATGGACAGGTGTCAATAACGAAGCGAATATTCAAAAAGACTCGCCTTTGCGCCACACAGGCACAGTGCCACGTGAAATAGTAATTAATATTGCCTGTTTTGAACTTGTGGCTGATCAGCACCACCTCTATTAGGCAATCCAGTCACGCTCACCTTTGCTTTTCCATTCGGTACTTTCCGTGTTTCGGCATTTCGGCAAACTTTTGCGTCGCCACTGGCTACACATTGCATTGCGCCCTCACTTTTGTCGTTTCCCTTACTCCCCTTCCTTTGCCTAGCCCCACTATGGGCCCCTTCCTCTCCTTTTTATTCTCACCTGACGGTCGTTTCTGGATCCCCATTCTAATCCACTTTTTCATCACCTCCACCCTCCTCCTTCTCATCTTATTTGCACCCCCACCATTTCTGATGTCACCACTTCCTATCCGCTTCCGTCGCCGATCCGTTGACTACCACGTGCCACTGCTGATATCAGCAAAGCCCCGGCGGCCGGTCCAAATAGGGCAACAGGTCCATCTTCATGACGTCGATCTGCCATCATATACTATCAAAACATCGGTCGCTCGTCTTGCCTGGTTGGAGTGTGGGTGGGTAGTTTTTGAGCTGGAGAAGGTTCATCCCCTTGCATCGCCCATGTTCATCGCTGTCCCATTCACTTGGGTACACTTATCTTTTGTCCATTGTCTTCGCTATAGCTACACCTACCACACGCTGCCTGGGACTCACTTGTTCCAAATTGGAACTACTCCTCTCCCTCCCTTGTTTGATCAGGTGGTCCAACACAACCAGTCCATTGGTAAGGCCATGGAACTGTCGGATTTGGACTAGGTGGTGGACCGGTGGCTCCAGTTTCTTTTTTTTTCAGCAGAACATTCATTTACAGTGCGATTATTTTTGATTTTTGAATCATTTTTATGGACACATATTTTTTTAGAATGTCTGACTGACAATAAAGGAACTGTGTTGATACTGATAGTGTTTTGCCTTGCCCTTTTTTTACTGCATCTTCCCATGACATCATGATTTTCCTGCTCTCTTTTTGCTATTGGACTTTACTTTATGGCTGTACAAACCTGTGACATTACTCACAGCATTCATTGTTCTATCCCTTTCTTTAATCAGGGACTGGAACTAGAGTCCAATGTGAGTAACTAGAGAATAGGAAGCATTGGACTCTGCAATACTGTCCGAAGTTTTGTAAACAAAGGTAAACAAAGCAGCCACAAAGGCGAAATAATAGAGAACACAATCAATAGTGAATGATAGAAGAATAGATAGAGAAAGGAATGAAAATATATAGGTAGCACAAAGGTGCAGAATCACCAAAACTAACATCTTATCCTGTAACATCTACGCAGGATTTGTCAGCATACATTCTTTCCTTCATGTTCTTTCTCATTCTTTTTGCACAGCTATACTGTGCATAGCCTACTTTTCTTTCACTATATAAACCCCTGTATTTTACCTTGTAAAAAAAAAACAAGAACTCAATTCCAGACTTCTTCTCTAATCTCAAGTTCACTACTCTCTGCTACTTGTGATCCAGTGTGGTCACAACACTTCCCACTGCTACCACTGTTAATTGCTGTCATCATCACTTCCCACTTTTGAAGTCATTGTTATCCCTTTCGATTAGAGTCCTTCTGAGCACTACAGTTTGTGCGTCAGGAGCCTGCTATCACTGGGAACCTCGTCACCTCGTCATCCTCGTCGTTCTCAAACCTACCTTGTGCTACAATTAGCAAGGTAGTGCTCATCTATACTTGTCACTAAGCCCCTATCTTCTATAAATTCAACTATCCCTCCTCCTCAAAACCCACACTCATACACCTCTGGGTTTTACTTTGAAGGATCTTTATATGTACCACCCCACGAACAACCAGACCACTCCACTGTTCTAGGAGGCAAAGCCCATAAACAAGTTCCGTGGAATCTGGGAGGATTGTGTGTTAGTTTTTTTTTTGTGTGTGGTTTTCTAACAGCAGTTCTCATCATCGACAGCGGCCGATCAGTTCCTTGAGAGTCAAACTTACCAGAACAAGCTTGTCGGGCAGATCAAGGGGCTACTTGCTAAAGAACACATCCACATCCACCAGCAACATGAGTCAGAAGAAAAAATCCGAAAGTATGAAGAAGTACAAGAATTGACTAAGCAAAACATTAATTTACGACAAAAAAACCACCACCTACTGCAAGCAGTTTCACGCCTGCAAACCACCCTGGATCATCAAACAAATTCTGCGTAAGTGACCTATACAACCTGAATTCTCTACTGACAGTCTTTTTTATATATTCTAGTGCAGGAATATCTACCATCTATCCGAGCGACTCTGTGTTGCATGCTGCCAACCCACCCCCAGCACGTTCAGTAGTATCTACAACTGAAGCCCAGCCCCCCCAGCCCCGCCCCGATCAATACCCATTTGAGATTCTATGGGAATTTGATGACTGCAAAAAGGACGAGGACGCTGGACTAACAGCTCAGAACCCCGCTCAACCTGCAATGGAACGTGCTGTCCGGCATGCTGATGGCACCATGATCTCCAGCAAGGAATGGACCGCCATCAAAGCTACCACCCGTGTCGCTCAAAACAAGCTCGAGCAGTTGCCCCTGCCAAAGTGTTGATCCCAGAAACGGTCGCAAAATTACTATCAATCTGCGTACCCGGCTCAGTGGGCAGCTATCATCCAAGAGATGGAGCAGCAACAGCCACTGCTAACTCTATGTTCAAACCATTGGAAGGCTGAACATGTCCTTGGCCAAATGTTGAGGTCTAGTAAGCTGGTTGATGAGGTGGCTATTAGCAACAACGATGAAGATGCAACTCTCATTGCTATCCCGTCAGGAACAGGAACAGGAACAGGAACAGGAGCGGAAGCTCAAAAACAACGTCGAGCAAGGTCGAGTGTCTCGGAAACGGCGAAGAAACAACGGCCAGTGAGCAGCACAGCTCCAAAGGCCATGTCAGAGGTACAGATGAGGATGGACAACTCATCCTCGGACACATTGATGCCTCCACCCACTACCGGCCAGTCCTTTTTTTCTTCTTCTCTTACTACTACTATACTGACATCAGATTTTCAGTACCTATTCAAAAATCACTTCCTCCCCCATCATTTCTGTCTGTCTCCTCAAATAAAGGGTCCAAAAAATACAACGTCGACTTTATAGAGGTCAGCTCCTCTATCCTTGACTTGAAAAGTACGTTCTTTTCATTATTTTTCACTTATTCATACACTAACAAAATCTAGCTATCATAACTCGCAACTTCGACTCCAACTCCTTCGGTATCAACCTTTTTGACGCTATGGAACTCTCTACAGACTTCTCCCCCGGCCCCCCTTCCTCTCTTATGCTTGAATTTATTGAGCGCATTGAGCGTGCTGACCCCAATTCCCCTGAATTCGATGAGGATGACCATGGTGTTTCATGGGGCCATCATCAGTTTACGTCAGGTTCAATGACGTCTTCCTCTGTACTAACATCTTGGACTGCAATAGGTAATTGCGAGACGGCAAGACGTCTAATCGCTGCAACGATCAAGACCTGTAAAGTTGCGAGGCACATATGTTTCCAGGAAAAGATTTTGTCCTTGACCTTCCTTGCCGACAACTATCTCAACAATATACTCAAACAAATCTGGGCTGCCTGGAAGGCAGCTGGAGGAGTAAGTTCTTTCCCTCATTTCATAATATTCAAACTGATGCTATCTTTACAGCCGGTATCTAAGGGAAAGGCTTCTTCAACGGTCTCTATGACATCAGCCTCTGTGTCTTTCATTTCGGCAGCTACAGAACCCCCCTCTTCTGTCTTGTCAGCATCGGCTCTCACTTTCCTTGCCTCAGTGGCCACCTCTGTCTCGTCGATGGAACAATCCACAGTGGGTGGGTCAGATTTGGCCAGCAAAGATAATTGTCGTGCAGGGTTACAAGTAAGTCATCACCAAGGTCCATCGATATATCTATTAACTCACGTTCAGTTTACAGGTTTTGTTGATTTTACCACTTCGATATCATCTAACATGGTTTCACAGATCTGGTCGCCGTTATCCTGGCCTTACCTATCAAGAAACAGCCCTCCGAGGTGGAAGTCGAGTCTATTATGTCCAAGGCAAGTCACCCGCTATATCTCTTACTAAACTACTAAATTACATTACTATTACAGCGGAAGGCGAAGAATGTAACGTCCAAATCCAAGAAGTAATCAGTTATTCTCTTGTCGTCGTCATCATGTTCTTTAGGAAATTTTTTTGTTGTCATCATTGTGTATATGCTTTTCTTTTGGACTGATCAGGAGCTCTTGTCATCATTATGTTGTGATTTTTGTATGCTTTTGTATGTTCTTGTATGCTCTGTGCTACTGGGACTCCGCAATGTAACTACATTGGATTTAATATTGGACTTTGATTGACTGTTACTGGACTTCGAATGACTGTTATCGTGTCAATCGGACTACATTGGATTGCAGATGAACTGGACCTTGCTGGACTCTCACTGGACTATGTTCCCCGAGAAATAAGACTTCATTGGACTCGTTACAGGACTATTTATACGGATTCTAGTCATAGTTCTTGCATATCAGACTGTTGCTGGACTATTATTGACTACACGTGACTACACTTTTTACTGAGCATAACTTACACTGCAAAAAAACTCAGATTATGCAATATCACAATGTCCCGAAAATCCCCACATATTTGTAGTCTCCCTTGCTTACCTAACTCAATATATGATAAGTCAATATCTTGTAAATAAGGTCTGCACCAAAGTAAGGCCATTTGGCGTGAACCCCCCCTTCTGTCACGACTTGAACCAGAAGCGCTAATCTGAGCGCTAGTTTCCTTTTTCATTTTCTTTGATATCTGATCACATGACAGATAAGATATGTTAAGCTGCTGCTTTAGCGCGGATAACATAATACGTAGTTATATCAGATCACGTGACCATCATGTGACTAAAGTCTAGAACCATTACAAAGAACATCAGTCAGCGCCTCATGGCTGCTGCATGTTAGATCAGTCAGCACCTCATGGCTGACTTTCAGAAACATATATATAGTAGACCACCATGTACATACTTTCCTCAGTTGTTGATTAATTCTCAATCGCTATTTGTAATGCTACTTGTTTGATTTGAGCCTTCATCCCTCCGTTAACTCGGTATAGGGGATAAGGGTTTTACACCTTCGGTGCCAATAACACGAATATTGAGCTCTTTTGCACCTCAATTTTAAACTCAACAACTCCGATTGAATATGGCTTAGCATCACAGTAAAGGCTAGCTATTGCTTCAACCAGTGTAACTCACCACTTAGCCTTTGTGTGAATCAGTAGAGTTGATAGTGAAGCTCTCAGATGACAAACAATGCTAGTTTCAAATTTTTCTTCCATCCCAAACAGATGCTGAGCCATTGAGATAGTGAAACTGTCAGCCACTCTAAAATGCCGCTACGAATTGCAGACACACCTGAACCAAAACATGGGCAAAAAGAAATGGGATATTCAGAGTCATATAGGTTCAAGGTGCTACATAATTGTTGTAGTTGTGATACAATAGTAGGGATCATATACATAACATTTGTTCTCTACAGTAGCCGTTTCAGCTGAAACCTTTATGTGCTTTTTCCTGGTGTGACTAGCCACAAAATGCCGAGTTCAAGCCGAATGTGCCGCTCATGGTGCCTTCTCTATTACTACCAAAGCGGGGGTTCCTGCCAAAGGTCCTTACTTCGGACCAGACTAACATATTTGCCTCATTCCAACCACATGTCAATCAGATCACCCCACATCAAAATGACTTGGAAATGAAACGGGTTCTACTCACATTACAAGTAGATCACAACCAGGTATCAACCACATTTTCACTTGTGTAATCTGCGTAGTTAGATTTTTGATAATAATATAATAATGACTGGGAACATATGTTAGTGTATTATATAATATTCACCAGTACAGTGTAACACCGGTCCTTGACACACAAGATGTAAATATGTGGATAAAAGTAATACTACATTGATTGCTGTACTTCAAGTGAGCTAGGCTTTGAGATCAGACTGAAATACATTATATTATGGACTAGAAATAACAAGTTATGCATGCATAAGCCTCATTGTGAGGCAACAATAAACTATAACAAAAACAAAACCTGTTCTCCTACTGCACTTGCAGGGAGTAAGAGGTTCAATGAGCTTAAGATGCTAGTAAATATAGCAAGTAGAGGATTTGGGAGTAAACTCAAGGGTTTCGGTTGAGGAGTAAAGTGGGTAAATCAAGTAATAGAAAACTAAAGAGCTATACATGCGATGTGTAGGGTTTATATAGCTAACCGTCCGTTCCTCAGACCGAAAGGAGAATAAACAAAAAGTGGTCTGAGGAATAAATCATCAAATAAGAAAAAGGGAACAACTATCATACAACTTTAACTTGATTAATCAGCGGGTGAGAGAATTGTACTAATAATAGATGTTTGTCACGTGTGTTCAGGAACCGTATCCTCATGATGAGGTACAATCCTGATCAAAGTGTTTATTAGTATATCCAGACCTTGATGGGGGTTGGAGCTGGTTGGTGAGATGCCTACTACCAGTCCCTACCCATTGTGCTGGCTGGCTGGGAGTGATACCCAGTCTCTGATCTGTGATATAAAGTGGTAGCGGTGGTTAAGAAAGCCTGTGAGGGCTATGAGAAGTAAGATAGCAAATGATACCTCTAGCCCTAGAGCCAGAGGTGTAACGGGAAAAGTGTTCGAGAACCAAGACATAGAGAAAATAAGAAAAAGGTAAAATGGTCCTTACACTCATCAGGATGCGAAGAAATGTGAAGGTGTCATTGTCACTGCAAACAAGTCCTTGACACAGTGTGACGAACACAATAAATTCCTTTTTTGGTCATGTGACAAACACAACCGCTTCCGTTGTCTGCTGAGAGTTGCGCTTTGCTGTACTAGCAATCTTCTGAGTCACTGCTATCACCATCACTGTCTCCTTGTGCTGGAATGCTCTCTATTTGCTGCTGGACAATATCCTTCCTCCGTGGCCTTGTGGGCTTCTCTGGCATGTATTTTCTTGGTAAGCCCTCTTCAGTCAACTTCTCGCACTCTGACTCCCATCTTGTCATAGCATCAGTATGTTTTGCAAGTTGTGTCTGCCACTCCCTCTCCATGGCTCCCTTCTCCAATTGTCGGGCTTCTTTCTTGGCTCTCCTGGTTTCCCTTGCAGTCTTTTTATCCGTCTTTCATTGTTCTGTCTGCTCAACTTCAAGAATAAATTCATCACTAGTCAAATGTCGGCCCTTGCCCTCAGGAAACAGCTTGGTGCGTTCATTCTCCTTCTGATTCTCTTTTGCATAAAGGGCCTGACCTTGTTTCATTGTGAAAATATCTTTGATTACGAGCCGAGCATGGGCTCCCTCGATGATTGCATCCCGGCCTTGTACATGTTGCTTAGGCAAGCATTAGACTGTCCCAAAGTTCTGAGGCATATAATTGCAGGTTGTTGTCGATGATGAGAACTGCTGTTAGAAAACCACACACAAAAAAAAAACTAACACACAATCCTCCCAGATTCCACGGAACTTGTTTATGGGCTTTGCCTCCTAGAACAGTGGAGTGGTCTGGTTGTTCGTGGGGTGGTACATATAAAGATCCTTCAAAGTAAAACCCAGAGGTGTATGAGTGTGGGTTTTGAGGAGGAGGGATAGTTGAATTTATAGAAGATAGGGGCTTAGTGACAAGTATAGATGAGCACTACCTTGCTAATTGTAGCACAAGGTAGGTTTGAGAACGACGAGGATGACGAGGTGACGAGGTTCCCAGTGATAGCAGGCTCCTGACGCACAAACTGTAGTGCTCAGAAGGACTCTAATCGAAAGGGATAACAATGACTTCAAAAGTGGGAAGTGATGATGACAGCAATTAACAGTGGTAGCAGTGGGAAGTGTTGTGACCACACTGGATCACAAGTAGCAGAGAGTAGTGAACTTGAGATTAGAGAAGAAGTCTGGAATTGAGTTCTTGTTTTTTTTTTACAAGGTAAAATACAGGGGTTTATATAGTGAAAGAAAAGTAGGCTATGCACAGTATAGCTGTGCAAAAAGAATGAGAAAGAACATGAAGGAAAGAATGTATGCTGACAAATCCTGCGTAGATGTTACAGGATAAGATGTTAGTTTTGGTGATTCTGCACCTTTGTGCTACCTATATATTTTCATTCCTTTCTCTATCTATTCTTCTATCATTCACTATTGATTGTGTTCTCTATTATTTCGCCTTTGTGGCTGCTTTGTTTACCTTTGTTTACAAAACTTCGGACAGTATTGCAGAGTCCAATGCTTCCTATTCTCTAGTTACTCACATTGGACTCTAGTTCCAGTCCCTGATTAAAGAAAGGGATAGAACAATGAATGCTGTGAGTAATGTCACAGGTTTGTACAGCCATAAAGTAAAGTCCAATAGCAAAAAGAGAGCAGGAAAATCATGATGTCATGGGAAGATGCAGTAAAAAAAGGGCAAGGCAAAACACTATCAGTATCAACACAGTTCCTTTATTGTCAGTCAGACATTCTAAAAAAATATGTGTCCATAAAAATGATTCAAAAATCAAAAATAATCGCACTGTAAATGAATGTTCTGCTGAAAAAAAAAGAAACTGGAGCCACCGGTCCACCACCTAGTCCAAATCCGACAGTTCCATGGCCTTACCAATGGACTGGTTGTGTTGGACCACCTGATCAAACAAGGGAGGGAGAGGAGTAGTTCCAATTTGGAACAAGTGAGTCCCAGGCAGCGTGTGGTAGGTGTAGCTATAGCGAAGACAATGGACAAAAGATAAGTGTACCCAAGTGAATGGGACAGCGATGAACATGGGCGATGCAAGGGGATGAACCTTCTCCAGCTCAAAAACTACCCACCCACACTCCAACCAGGCAAGACGAGCGACTGATGTTTTGATAGTATATGATGGCAGATCGACGTCATGAAGATGGACCTGTTGCCCTATTTGGACCGGCCGCCGGGGCTTTGCTGATATCAGCAGTGGCACGTGGTAGTCAACGGATCGGCGACGGAAGCGGATAGGAAGTGGTGACATCAGAAATGGTGGGGGTGCAAATAAGATGAGAAGGAGGAGGGTGGAGGTGATGAAAAAGTGGATTAGAATGGGGATCCAGAAACGACCGTCAGGTGAGAATAAAAAGGAGAGGAAGGGGCCCATAGTGGGGCTAGGCAAAGGAAGGGGAGTAAGGGAAACGACAAAAGTGAGGGCGCAATGCAATGTGTAGCCAGTGGCGACGCAAAAGTTTGCCGAAATGCCGAAACACGGAAAGTACCGAATGGAAAAGCAAAGGTGAGCGTGACTGGATTGCCTAATAGAGGTGGTGCTGATCAGCCACAAGTTCAAAACAGGCAATATTAATTACTATTTCACGTGGCACTGTGCCTGTGTGGCGCAAAGGTGAGTCTTTTGAATATTTGCTTTGTTATTGACACCTGTCCATGCTACCAATCAACTTTGGTGCATGACACTGAGCAAGTGAACCTAAACAGACATGCAGGTGGAGAAATGGAGTACACACTCATGTGTGATTGAGTGGAGAAAAACAGACTCTACAAGATGGTGTGTAAATATATTTTCTTTGCCATATTATTACTCACATTCTATTATATTGATGGTCGTCTATTTCGCTCCCAGACAATGCTACTGTGCAAGAGAAGAGGCTAGTAAACTGAGTTATCAAGGAGAAAGGTTTACAGCGAGGGACGCTCCATTCACATAATGGAGGCCTTATTTCAGATCAAGTCTTATATCCCACACATATAAAGAAGTACACCAATATTAGAAGACTTCCTCACATTGAAGTATACAGCCTCCTTCTCAGTTTTGTTCACTCAAGTTGGCCTGATCAGATCATTGTCGACGATCTCACTAGTGAACCTGGTGCTGTGCTGTTCTCATCTCTCTATTCTACTAATATCTTTCCATATATAACGAACAATGGGATCAGATATGGGTGTTCCACAGCAACTCAAACTCAAGCGGATTGTTATGCCTGCGTTGACTTTGCAGGGTCTCACATCCCTTGTGAAGTTATCTATCATCTCAAGATTAAGATTAGCAATAAACCGGACCTCAGTTGCTCAATTGTACATCGTATAGTTGCTGATAACCATATACCTTTATTTCCATGGAGTCTATAGTGAGTATTTTCCTCGTGTTTGTTTGCTTAATCACACCTGCATGAGTTTGACTGACCTTGGCATCTACATGGCCTATGCCAAGCGTTTCCAACCACTCGAAGTGATCTTTTCCAAACAATTGGCCTCAGCAGTTGCAATTATCCCTATCACTCTCAATTCAGAAGTGTTCACCGAGCCTGTATGGATAGTACACTCTTTTGACTGTGTAAGTAGCATTTATTTCTATATTAATAAGCTTATAAACACCTATGCAGAGTGGCATTGAACAATGTAGCGACGACTGGCTCGAGGATATGGATCAAGACGACTAACATAATTACCCCAGCACCTCATCATCATCATCATCAAATAACTCGTTCCGGTGAGTCCCTTCCAGTATCTTGTCTATATTCTGCTGTGCCTTGACAGTTGACTCCCTCTCCTTGGCAACTCATTTGATCCTGATGAATATCTTCTCACCATCATTCCCAGATCATTTTCTCTTTCGTCTCGCTTGGTTACCACCTGTCAAATCATCATCAACTGGGTCTTCATCGTCACCCCAAGCATTTCCATTGTGCGCAAGCTGGGAGAGGCCCACAATGCTTGAATACTCAGGTAGTGCAAGTAAGTCTGGTTTAATTTGCCATACACGAAGTCGGTTCTTGAGGAGTTTTGCTGATGGAATCTTGTAGTTTGCGATTGGATGACCTCGGATATGAGGGGTCATAGCTTTTTCTTTATTGGGATTGGGATCTTTGATGGCATCCAGGTCATCGTAAATCTGTTGGAGCTGCAAAAACTAAGGTTACAAAGTTTGTTTTGTCTATATCTGACTTGGAGACTTTTACTTAGTCACTGTGATAGTGTGGAGCATGGCTAATGTATTTTTTGAGCTCATTAGATGTTGGCCTATAATCTGGATCATCCTTGTTGTCCAACATGGCATTAATGATAAATGCGGCATCAAATTTTGGGTCGGTATAAACAGAAAGTGGGCGTTTATGAATGTGTTGGTCAAGTTTCTGGGGTGAATTGATCAGGTGTGTTTATTAATCACTCTCTTAATCACTTACTGACTGTGCCCTTGAGTTTCTATGGGCCTTGGAGATGGGCAAACTAACTGGAGCGTCATCTTCAAGTTTGTTGTCATCTAGATTTTGAAGTTCGGCTGCTTCAAGTTGTTGCTGGTGAGTCTCCCACTCTCTTTCTTTTCTTTCTTTGGTACAAAACTGTCTGGCCATGTACTGATATTTCTTGCATATTCGGAATTTTAAGTCCTTTGGCAGTAGAACACGGAGCATCCCACTGGCTATTGGGATTTTGGCAGGTGCGTTGTTCATGAACCATGATTAGATCTCAACTAAATTCTTGTTGTTTGGATTTACATCAGCACTAAGGACCCAGTTGTACCGTTGGAGAGGCTTCTGTGTCGCAGGGTCTTTAGGCCACATGCTAGGGTCTATGGTGGAAGGGAAGGCAGGCAGGCTCTTTGCTTCAAGATTGTCAAAACCAATTTTTCTGGCGAAGGCCTCGTTTATAGCATCCTACAAAAGTGAGTGTTATTTTATTGATCCTATGTATTATCAGAGCTGACCTTGACAGGCTTGGAAATAGCCGCTTCAAGACTCAAGCTCTCTCGCTGCTCTGGTGAGAGTGATTCAAGATCAACTGTCGCTGGATCAACGTCATTCAACAGGCTAGTGAGTATTGGTTGTGCCCCATCTATGTCCCCTCTCATTCCTGTCATCTCTTCTTCATGCTCCTCCATGTTCTTGTCGTTGTCACACTTGATACACTGCACCCCCATCCCTCTATTCAAAACAGCAACCTGTTTTTTCAGGTTCTCAATGTCCGCTTGCATCTGCTTATATCCACTTTGTAGCGCAAGATTTTCTGCATTCAATACTTTCACTTGTTTGTCTGTCATGTCCCTGTAAGCTTGGTTAGTCTCCTTCATATTCTCTATTTCTTTAACAGCTGCTTTTAATAACAAGAGATTTGTATTAGGTGCTCTTTCGCTTGAGGGAGGTTCAGGATTGGGACCATTAGGGTGGGGCATGGTTTTGGAGTGCTTTTGTGGGGTTTTGAGGGGAGGAATTAGGCATTTCATTGTTTGATAGTCATATATACATGTATTCTTGTCTGTCTACTCTATGAACAAAGTTTGTTTTCTGTCTGATTGACCTCGAGCAAGCGAGGATATTAATCTGTCCATTAGTATGGGGGACCGGGTTGATTCCCGTATAATTACAGTGTAACACCGGTCCTTGACACATCATGGTTCCTTGACACAGTGTGATTTAACTTGCGTTATCCTACCTGTAGGATCTCAAGCATCTTGTAGCATGTAGGTCAGTATGTAATTTTTTATTTCCCAAGCAATAGAGTGCTCTGGGTGATCTGATCAAACTGTATGAAGTATTTTTTAGCAAAAAAGGGGCATATGTAGTGCACATCAAGTTTTGTATGGTATCTCATAGTTTAATTTGGCACTACAGTACATCTTAAATGTGACAGCAACAATATATAGGGGTATATTCATTCTAGAGTAGACTTCTGGCCCACTGAAGGTGGTGTTGTAACATAGGCAGCACATGAGAATACTTGCCAGTGCAATCAGCTGTTTGAGCGTGACAAGACTCAGATACCGTGAGAATTTAGTTTAACGTATCTGGATCATTTTATGCACTGTGTCTGTGCTTCTAAAATCACACCATCTCCGTTTATCTAAACATAGAGCCCATTCAAGCTCAAATGGTCAACTACACAAATTCTATTGCATCAAAGAAGAAGACCAAACATGAAGAAAGTGATGTGAAAATGGCACGAGCTCTTCATGCATATTGTCTTGAGAAGATGAAACCAAATGGAGAGAGTTGTGGTGTTCGGCAAATTGCAAAGCAATGTGGAGTAGGATGGAGGACTCTATCAAGACTTTACAATGGAGGAACAGCTATGTCTGACTTTAATATTACCAAGCCGAGTAGTTGGGATGAAGGGAGCAAAGCGGCAACTTCAGCAGGGCAGTGGAGATCGCGGGAATGTCACTGCAATCATAACTGTGTGTGCGGATGGCACAACAGTGCAGCCCACACTCATTTTCAAGGGCAAGAATATTATGAAAAAGTGGGGGAATAATAATATAGCAAATGGATCGTAAGTCAAATTTGCCAGAAACTAGCCACATCAACTCACTGACACTAGGATTGCTGCATCACCAAATGGCTGGACTGATGGCAAGCTTGGACTGTATTGGATCCAAGACTTTAACATAAAAATAAGAGAAAAAGCAAATGGCCAGACTTGGGTACTCTTCCTTGACGGACACTCCTCTCATCACACATCAGCACTGCTTTGTTATGCCCAAGAAAATAAGATTGAAATACTTACCTACCCGCCTCACACAACCCATGCTCTACAGGGTCTAGATGTTATCTGCTTCGCCATCTACAAGACTGCCTGGAAAGATGAGGTGAAAAAATTTGAGAAGCAAGAGAAGCATAAAGTTACCACTGCTGACTTCACAGGAGTGTCCAGCAGAGCCTTCTTACATGCTTTCACTCCAGAGGTTGTCCGCTCCTCATTTGCAGCTACTGGCATCTTTCCATTCAACCAGAATATCATATCTACTTCACAGATGAAGCCAAGTGAAGCCACATCTGTGAAAGGATCATTCCCTATGCAACAAGCAAGTCCTGTACGGGCCATCATGGCAGTGTACCAATATCATCAGCCAACATCATTAGAAACCTCACCAAACACTCACAGGCCTATCATATCCTCCAAAAATCCACAAACTCCCACCCGACATCACCCAAATGCACCACTTGATGATAGCATTGATCCAGCACTTTTCACTCCCTCAAAACAAGTTCGGATCATGACTGCTAGCCTGGCAAAAACAGCATCTGGGAGCTTTCTTGTGTTGAAGGCTCTAGTTACATCTTCCAGTCTGATTACAAAGCCTGTTCTCGAAGGCCCACCAGATATACCAATTCCCAAGTGGTCCCTCGTAGCTTCTACAGTCTCTGTATCTGAGATGTTGCACAATGATGTCATGCACCAAAGTTGATTGGTAGCATGGACAGGTGTCAATAACGAAGTGAATATTCAAAAAGACTCACCTTTGCGCCACACAGGCACAGTGCCACGTGAAATAGTAATTAATATTGCCTGTTTTGAACTTGTGGCTGATCAGCACCACCTCTATTAGGCAATCCAGTCACGCTCACCTTTGCTTTTCCATTCGGTACTTTCCGTGTTTCGGCATTTCGGCAAACTTTTGCGTCGCCACTGGCTACACATTGCATTGCGCCCTCACTTTTGTCGTTTCCCTTACTCCCCTTCCTTTGCCTAGCCCCACTATGGGCCCCTTCCTCTCCTTTTTATTCTCACCTGACGGTCGTTTCTGGATCCCCATTCTAATCCACTTTTTCATCACCTCCACCCTCCTCCTTCTCATCTTATTTGCACCCCCACCATTTCTGATGTCACCACTTCCTATCCGCTTCCGTCGCCGATCCGTTGACTACCACGTGCCACTGCTGATATCAGCAAAGCCCCGGCGGCCGGTCCAAATAGGGCAACAGGTCCATCTTCATGACGTCGATCTGCCATCATATACTATCAAAACATCAGTCGCTCGTCTTGCCTGGTTGGAGTGTGGGTGGGTAGTTTTTGAGCTGGAGAAGGTTCATCCCCTTGCATCGCCCATGTTCATCGCTGTCCCATTCACTTGGGTACACTTATCTTTTGTCCATTGTCTTCGCTATAGCTACACCTACCACACGCTGCCTGGGACTCACTTGTTCCAAATTGGAACTACTCCTCTCCCTCCCTTGTTTGATCAGGTGGTCCAACACAACCAGTCCATTGGTAAGGCCATGGAACTGTCGGATTTGGACTAGGTGGTGGACCGGTGGCTCCAGTTTCTTTTTTTTTCAGCAGAACATTCATTTACAGTGCGATTATTTTTGATTTTTGAATCATTTTTATGGACACATATTTTTTTAGAATGTCTGACTGACAATAAAGGAACTGTGTTGATACTGATAGTGTTTTGCCTTGCCCTTTTTTTACTGCATCTTCCCATGACATCATGATTTTCCTGCTCTCTTTTTGCTATTGGACTTTACTTTATGGCTGTACAAACCTGTGACATTACTCACAGCATTCATTGTTCTATCCCTTTCTTTAATCAGGGACTGGAACTAGAGTCCAATGTGAGTAACTAGAGAATAGGAAGCATTGGACTCTGCAATACTGTCCGAAGTTTTGTAAACAAAGGTAAACAAAGCAGCCACAAAGGCGAAATAATAGAGAACACAATCAATAGTGAATGATAGAAGAATAGATAGAGAAAGGAATGAAAATATATAGGTAGCACAAAGGTGCAGAATCACCAAAACTAACATCTTATCCTGTAACATCTACGCAGGATTTGTCAGCATACATTCTTTCCTTCATGTTCTTTCTCATTCTTTTTGCACAGCTATACTGTGCATAGCCTACTTTTCTTTCACTATATAAACCCCTGTATTTTACCTTGTAAAAAAAAAACAAGAACTCAATTCCAGACTTCTTCTCTAATCTCAAGTTCACTACTCTCTGCTACTTGTGATCCAGTGTGGTCACAACACTTCCCACTGCTACCACTGTTAATTGCTGTCATCATCACTTCCCACTTTTGAAGTCATTGTTATCCCTTTCGATTAGAGTCCTTCTGAGCACTACAGTTTGTGCGTCAGGAGCCTGCTATCACTGGGAACCTCGTCACCTCGTCATCCTCGTCGTTCTCAAACCTACCTTGTGCTACAATTAGCAAGGTAGTGCTCATCTATACTTGTCACTAAGCCCCTATCTTCTATAAATTCAACTATCCCTCCTCCTCAAAACCCACACTCATACACCTCTGGGTTTTACTTTGAAGGATCTTTATATGTACCACCCCACGAACAACCAGACCACTCCACTGTTCTAGGAGGCAAAGCCCATAAACAAGTTCCGTGGAATCTGGGAGGATTGTGTGTTAGTTTGTTTTTGTGTGTGGTTTTCTAACAGCAGTTCTCATCATCGACACCGCTGCCCCATCGGCCTGGAATATCGCCATCAAGACCATTGGAGAGCTGGAGGGTCATCTTGGCGACGAACAGCAAGTTGCGCTAATTGACCTTCTGTGTGATAACGAGCGCATGATGAACTATTACCTGGCTATCATTGAGACTGGGCGGGAAAACCTGCGTAAAATATGGGTGGATAAGAGGTTAGCCCAGCTTGCTGCATACCCATCAAGCTATACCACTAACAACTGAAGTTTTTCTCTCTTATTTTATGTAGCCCTTTTCTTACATTGTATCTCTTTTGCTGTTGTTGTATCTGTATTTTTTGCTAGCCCCACTCAATAAAGTATTGCATCAGAACTTGCTCGTGTAATTTGTCAGAGAAAAAACATCGGGGTACTACCTGATCTTCCATGCTATTCATTGTCAGCTGCTAACATGGCTAAGGCCTCCTCATCCAATGTGGCTGGATCCCCTCTCGCCCTCAACTCATGATGGTAATCAACCCACATTTGTCTTGCCACCTCTGCACGAATGGAGTTGCCGCAAAATCTTGCAGCTTCGTTGGGAGCTACATTTGATAATGTCCCAAAGTTATTGATAGGTGCACTCTTGTCGGGCAACAGGAGATCATGGAGCTCGTTCAGATCGTAGATACGAATGGCATTGTGGATAGCACAAAGGGCTGATGGAATATGAGCCTGTAGTGAGATGTCATATTCTGGCGCACATGAGAGGATCCTGAATCGATGTTTCAAGACCCCAAAGATCCATTCAATGCAGTTCCGGGCCTGAGCATGGCGCAAATTGAATAGTTCCCGCTCATTCTTCAGCCTGACAGCTGCACAACCCCACTTGGCAAGATGGTACCGTTCACTACGGTAGGGAACCATCAGCTGGTCACACGATGCAAAACCAGCGTCAGCAAGGTAAAATTTTCCTTCGGGAACACACAAATTGTGCTTTTGAGCGTCTAGATAAATGGATGCATCAGCTGCAGAGCCCTCCCAGCCAGTCAGAATGTAGAGAAACTGCAAGTCGAACAAACAGCATGCCAGAACGTTCTGGGACACACTGCCTTTGCAGTTTCGAGACATGTGGCGTTCGGAAGCGGGGGGACTGCAAGGTATGTGGGTTCCGTCAATTGCACTGAGTGCATCTGCAAAGTAGGGAAAGAATTTGGGGTTGGTGGCAATCTCTGGTGGTGTTGGATCTGTCACTGATGGTAGACGGACGAATGTCGTGTAAATGGGCTTTGACGAGAAGGCAGTTAACATTTCGCGAAAATATCTATAATAGATGTTAGTAGATATAGATAAAATATAGGGAGATAATTGCCTAGATATTGTATCATTGGAGCGTTGGAAACGCTCACCAAGATGTCAAATTGTGAGGCCGTAACGCATCCATATAGAAAGACGGCAAGCTTCTCCTTGAGGTTGACGTGCTTGGAGTCTGTATACCCCGCTTTTTGTAGGATTCGAACAAGAAACCCGAATACTTCTACATGTACCACCAATGCACAACGGATACGCTCCGGATGTCTATCTATGAGCTCCTTCACCCATTGTTGTCCGGTCAGCAAGGAGGTATGATAAGGGCGTTTATTGTAGAGGCCCTCGCCGTAAGACACTACTGCGAGGCCAGCTACATTGGCAGCAAAAACAATGTCATTGTCATCCTGTTGTTGGCGCTGTAAGATTAGTTGGAGTACAACGAGATGTTGTTTTAAACGGGCCCAGCAATCTTCACGATCTTCACTTCTAGCTAGGGTGTTCATTGATTCAGCAATGAAGTGTTACTTCCTAATTGGGGACGTGATCTTTCCGACTCTTTGTAATTGAACTCCGACTCAATTCTGGAGCTGTAAGACGCCCAAGTTTGCGAAAAGACGCGCGCCCGAATGGGCTCTTAATGCAAACAAAGCCGAGCTTGTGCCGAAAATGCTAGCGGAACCTCGAGATCCCCGGTGACTTGATCGGAAAGGGGGGGGTTACGGCATATTCTCACGGTTGCCTTCGCCGCCAGAATAGTCACGGCCAGTTGCTGAATCCAACCGTCAACGTGTACGATGGCAAACTACATTCAAGGACTGCTGGAGGGTAAAATCGTGAGTGTCGACTTTGTCGCTGGCGTGCAATTACTGATACTTGGATGTTAGGACTTTCAAGGCCAAAAAGTGGCAGATGATATCGTGAAGTATGCACTTATTGCCAGCACCGTGTGTCCATTCTCCTTGATATATTTCGCAGTTGTTCATGCATTTGTCTCCTCACAGATTTTCTCGTTTATTCTCGGATTCGCACTTCAGTCGTTACGTGTCACTTTTGGTACTTTAGGGTTTTCAACAATAGTTCTCTGCCTAGTATGTGCTCATTCCCCACTGTGCGCGTTTATTCATTGTGCTCGCCAGGTTGTTCTTCCACCATGGTCAATGTACAACCAACATCCTGTGAAATGGCTACCTGTAGAAGAGACGAAAAAGTCGACGTGATAATGATACCCACCAGTTGATCTTGTGCGTTCGTGACGAAGCTGAGCGCCGGACAGTCCGGGTGAAGTATGTAAATGGACATTTATATTCGGTTGATAATGTTAGCACGTCAGGTACAGGAGAGCCTGAGAGATGTAGGGTGGAACCGGTGAGTTCATTACAGGCTTGATTCTCAAAAGATATTCTTATCTCTTGCTCTGTAAGCTCGGTCATATGATGGCGGTGGGGCTCCGCTGCAGCATCAACTCTGAAAGGCTGATCGTTGGTAAGATACGATAAGATGGTGTAAGTTGGTAGTATAACTGCTGTTTGACATTCACCCGTCATTAAATGGGCCCTAGTTCAGCAAATCTGAACACGATTTGAGTACGGACGTAAATCATTGACACAGGCGCGGCTGATGCTGTGAACTGGCTGTGTACATGTACATCAGCGTTGTGATTGAAAACCAGTGTGCTGTCGTGTAGTGGGTTTCATAGTATGCTAGCTAGACTTGCAAGGATAGAATGAAGAATAAAAATGGAGTGTTGTGTTTTCTGAGTGATTCTGCAGCTAAGCCAAAGAAGGGTGATGAGAACGGACATAATAAGCGCTGGCACCGCCGCGAAACAGGGTGAGGTTGAGGAAAGCTGGGTTGGCGGAGTGACAGTTACTACGGCTTGTCCACTGCGGCGTGTTTTAACGACAGTACGAGCACGACGAGCACGACGTCCAGGACGATGAGCACGTTCCCGCAGCTGAACCGAGTCCCTGAGGACGGGGAGGGGGCAGATATCAGGATGTCGCATGGGGGCGGACAAGAGTTTGATCTGCCCATCTTACAAAAACCATCCCAGCCACAGCAAGCCAGTCCCGAATCCCCACGTCCTCTCCCCGCTCCTGCAACAAGAGCGCTTCAGACGCTCAAGCCTCGTCCAGTATCAATGCCACCACAGGCTTATAACCCGTCGCCCCAGACAAGCTCGTCGGACAGAGACCGCCAGTACATCCCAGATCCAAAACATCGCCAGCACAGGGACAGCTCACATAGAGATGGCTCCTCCTCAAAGCCAAGTCGTACCACCAACAGGCTCTTGGGTGATTATACCCTCACAAAGACCCTTGGCGCTGGCAGTATGGGAAAAGTCAAGCTAGCCATCCACAACGGCACCCAAGAAAAAGTATCTTCGTCCTCGTCCTCCTTGTTCGTGCCTAATCATGTGTTTTTCACCCAGCTCGCTGTCAAAATTCTTCCCCGTGTTCATCCTTCTACTTCACAGCCAAATGGCTCTAATGCGACACCCGAGGCCATCGCTAAACAGGCCTCAAAAGATGCCTCCAAAGAAATTCGCACTATTCGTGAGGCTGCTCTTTCTATGCTTCTTCACCACCCCTACATCTGTGGTATGCGTGAAATGATCGTACACCAACATCACTACTATATGGTATTCGAATACGTCAACGGCGGGCAAATGCTCGACTACATCATCAGCCACGGTCGGCTACGTGAACGGGTCGCTCGCAAGTTCGCTCGTCAAATAGGGAGTGCTCTCGACTATTGTCATCGAAATAACGTTGTGCATCGAGGTCAGTGCCCATGCCTTTCTCATTGACAGGTGGTATAAATCTAATGACTTATTGCAGATCTCAAAATCGAGAATATCCTCATTTCCGAAACTGGTAATATCAAAATCATTGACTTTGGCCTTTCGAATCTCTTTGATCCTGTTGCCCACTTGTCCACTTTCTGTGGTTCCCTCTATTTTGCTGCACCAGAGTTGCTCAACGCAAAAGTGTATACTGGCCCTGAAGTGGATGTATGGAGTTTCGGAGTTGTGCTCTATGTCCTCGTCTGCGGAAAGGTTCCCTTCGATGATCAGAGCATGCCGGCGCTACATGCCAAGATTAAGCGCGGACTAGTGGAGTACCCTGTTTGGCTAAGTGCAGGTAAGCTTCACGCTTCATTCACGCCTCGACCCCGTGCTGACCTTCCAATCAGAATGCAAACATCTTCTATCACGCATGCTGGTGACAAATCCACCTGCACGTGCATCACTAACAGAAGTTCTCGAACACCCGTGGATGCTGCGTGGCTTCAGTGGGGTTCCGGATTCTCACCTCGTGCACCGTGAACCACTGCGCCCAGAGGAGCTTGATAGGCAAGTTATCAGGGGTATGAAAGGATTTGAGTTTGGCTCTGAAGACGATATCGAACGAAGGTTGATTAGCGTCTTGGAATCTGAGGCATACCAGCGTGCTGTGATGGCCTGGGACCGTAAACGGAACGGCCGTAATGGACACAGTCGTTGGGGAGAATCCTTCTCCAACTCGTCCCTCGCCATCGCTTTCGATGGTTCCAACTCCAATGTGCACAAGGTCGACTCATTGTCACCCAAGAAGTCAAAACGGTTCTCTGGTTTTGATTTCTACCGCCGCAAACTCTTCTCACCCGCATCCTCTCCACCAACAACCCCGTCCCACTCACCTCCCACCTCCCAGTCTCATTTATCCATATCCGGGATCAGCGACACCTTCCGCGAACCGCCGGACCCCACAAGGGGCTTCCATCCCCTTATATCCATGTACTATCTAGCTCGCGAAAAACTCGAACGCGAACGCGTCTATGGCCCTGGACATTTCGCAAGCTCACAGCTGTCTCTCCAATCGAATGTCCCTGGTGGGCCTTCCGCAGACGAAGCCAATGGTCCACCGCCTTATCCAACGAAGGCTCTATCCCAACCCATACCGGCCAAGAAAGACCAAGTTCGAGAACTTCAGCAGCCCGTGTCGGCCAAGGCAGACTACGCTATGCAGCTCCCGCGTCTACCGGTTCCAAAGACTTCTCATTATTCTGGGATGTCGTACGATGCCGCTTCTGCTGCTGCGCCATCGCCTACCTCGCCCGCATTCCATGGGCTGCCTCGTGCGCGCGATGCCGGACTTCCTGCCCCTGATGCAAAGCGTACAGACCTTGCGCCTCCTGGCGGGTCCATTTCGGCACAGACCACCCCGACCACACCAACGCCAACACCGAATGCGGCATTACCACGTGCGCCGCCTGCTTCGACCCATCGTAGGAGTCACAGTCTAAGCCAGAGACCGACAGTGCTGCGTGGGTGGGGTGGAATGTTGGGAGGTGCAGGTGCAGATGCAGTAGACGAACGCGCTGAAGAGCCACCCCATTCCGCTGGTCCGGGACTGGGTGAGTTTGCGGAGAAGGAGAATCATGGCGAAGAGGAAGGGGGACGGGCTACTCATGGGCATGATGGAGGTCCGTTGTCTGCTGGTGCAACCCTTGTGAGGAAGTTCGGGACACTTCTTGGGGCTGGTGCGAAAGGAGACGAGAGCAGGAGAGGGCATGGCAGTCTGAATAAAAGGGCTAGCATTATGGGTGTTATCACTTCTCGCCCGTCAGCGGACATGCTGAACGAGAAGGGCGCTACTGGCACTGAAGGCGAGGCTGCTGGCGAGAAGAAGATTGAAGGGAACGAAGCTCCTGGCGCAGATAGTCAGGGAGTAGATGCAACACCTACAACTCTGTCCCCGAGTCAGAGTCATCCAATGCCGGCCGGCCACCGACGGGCTGCTACCATCCTTGATCCACAAGGGCGTACTACTAGGCACGAGCGTCGAAGCAGCACCGGAGGAGCACTTCTTCCAACCATTGGGGGAACCATTGGGCGGCATCGTCGACCATCAACCGGGTATGGGATGGGAGGTGCACGCCCGACGAGCAATATGTTCGGGCGTACTGACGAGGTAGAGGAAGGGCATGAACGGGACACGTCTCATGATGAAAGCACTGACAGAGATGAGAGCTTCAAGGACGAGAGTGCTGCTCACCAAAACGACAAAGATTTCAAACCTTTGTTCCTGAAAGGCTTGTTCAGCGTGGCGACGACGTCGACGAAACCACCTTCCGTGTTGAAGGCAGATATCAAGCGGGTCCTCGATCGTATGCAAGTTCAATATCGGGAAACCAAGGGCGGCTTTGAGTGCATCCATATACCTTCCATTGATGTTTCTTCCGTGTCTGAGGCCGCCTCGCATGGTCGGCATAGCCAGCACCGCAGGCAAGGCTCGGGTGGATCGAATGAGACGGGTAAGACTCGACGTTCGATCGTGAAGAAAGCGTCCAAGCTGTCATTTGGGATGAAATCGAGGGAGAAAGAGAGCCACAAGGAGAAAGAAAAGGAGCACGAGCAATCGTTATCCGAAAAGGACAAAGACCTTCCTCATCGGCCATCGGGGGGTACAGCGCTTAGCATGACGCCAAGTAGTGGCTCGTCTTCCTTCTTCAATGTGTCCTCGAATGCACATACCGTTCTTGGGGAGGGGGCTCGGCAACTAGAGACGAATGGAGCTAGACCAGGATCGATTTTGGACGATCCTTTACCGCGTTCCGGCTCACCTGCGAAAAGCAAGATATTGCCCCCCATACCCCGCGATTTTGCTGCAACACCCCAACCACAGACGTCTAAGACGCCATTCCCCACCGGTGAGGTAGACCGTGAAGTCTTTGAGAGTATGGGTGCGAATACGTTGTCTGTTCGTTTCGAAATCAACATAATCAAGGTGAGCTTTTCATAAATTGTGCCCATGGAACAACTTTCTAACGTGCTATCGTGTGTGCGCTCTCAGGTTCCTTGGTTACCACTACACGGAATACAGTTTCGAAGAGCCGGTGGTGACGGTTGGCAATACCAGATGCTGGCACGACGGGTATTGACTGAATTGAAGCTATAACAAATCATGCCGCCATATTTTTCATTATTCTCTGGGTTTACACACTATCCTTCGCATCGTCATTGAGATATGCTCAAGTTATCATATTTTACTTGTTCTTGTCGATTTTCTTTCAGTTCCTCTTCTTTCGGTCCCGCAGCTTTTCGGAGTCTTCGTTGCCTCTTTATTCTTCCCCTCCTATGGCTAGACACGTCACACACGTTGTGCTTACCTCGTCATGAGTTCGTCGAAACGATCCTACTTATTAACCCATTCATTTTGAATCCCTTTCTACGACATGTATGATGCTTATAGGTGAGGATGTTAATAATACACATCGTGCAATTTTGGATTAGGACTTGCGTAGTATAGCACGAAATCATCAAGTTCACTGATGCTGATTAAAAGCAATTGCAAGGGGTGTGGACAGAATTAGCCTTGCCGGCAAGTGTCAGGATCCCGTGTATGCCCATGTGGGCCCGCCCTTTGTCTTTCGCTACTATCTTTTTTTCTTTATATACCCATCACTAAGGCTTGCACTTTCCAGTGTTCCCGTCGTTCTTTTGCTTTCTTGACATCGCATTTTCCTATAATTCAATGGCAGATCTGACCGTACTGATTTCTCCGACACCTATATATCCCCAGCCCAAACCATATGGTTTCAGTTTTGCCCGTCGCAGTCAAAATGACCTTACTACCAGCCGCCCCGTCATGGTCACTTTGGAGTCTCCAGAATCATCATCTGCTCCTTCATCTCCAGTCAGGGTTCATAACGAGGACTTGCTTTTCCCGCCTGTGAATACGTTCAGGGCTTCCAAGCCAAGGCGTCCTAGACGTCCTGCATCTGCACCGCCCACCAAGACTTCTTTCGATATCGTCTCAGCTGAAGAGGCGCCCCATAAACCCAGAGCGCTATTTGGTCGCAGAATTTTCTCCTCGTTTGCCAGCAGTAACCGGAGCGAGCTTATACGTCCTCCTCCTCCACTTTGTGAGTGCCCCAGAACTATGCAGTATGAAAGAAATGCACGGAATCCTAATTATATCTTCCAGTTCGCCCGACCACGTTTTGGAGAAAGACAAAGCGCTCTGGTGTGACAGGAGCATCCTATTCCCCATCCTCTCATCTCATTCGGCGTTCTACTTTCATAGCAGCCGGTCTTTCGTTGGACAAGCCCATCGCTGACCTGTCTGCGCTTTGCGTCGAGTCCCGTGTTGGATTCGTCGTTCTTGCCCCGGAAGAAAATCCTATTTAATAGCCATCGTCGTGAAAACACCCGATTGTACCATTTATATATGCCCTAAAGTATGACTATGGCTACCCGATCAACAGCCAGTAACTGGACGCCGACATCCTCGATTGTCCTTTCACCACATGTCACTCCATACAACACACATCATGTTCGACAGGCGGTGACCACCGATCTATCGATACCGTCGCTTTCCGATTACTGGTGGCCATACCCCTCATGGGGCGCCATTACTATTGCTGCGATGCCTTCGACCACATCTAGAGGGGTCAATGTTGCTGTATCTACTACATCCCTCGTATCTTCTTCAGACACTGCCAGTTCATCACCTAGTTCGTCCTTGATTCGCATCACCGCCCTTCCACCAGGCGACAGTAACTTGTCTTATCCTCCCCAATCTGGTAAAATCGTTCCGCAAAGTAGCTTCAACCTGATATATCTCGCACCTGTGTTTGCTTTTCTTGGCATTATCTTTGGATGTTTATCCGTGTGGCTCTACTTCCGTTGGTCTGCGAGGCGTACAGGGGGTCATACACGCAGTGTTTCGTTTCAACCGGGGCCACCCTACGTATCTTATGAAAGTGACTATCGCGACCGTACAGCAGATGATGAAGGACAACATGATATGGAAACCGCATCTCTCTTTGCTTTCTTCGGAAGCCCTAGTAAACACTCAATACACGGGGCAACGTACAAGTCCAGCCAAAGGAATCTATGGCCTTCTCGGAATCGCATGCCGTCCTCGCACAGCCGTGAACCAGGGGTAGTTGGGGAACCCGTCAAGACGTTTCCTCGTCCTGCCATTCCTTTCCAAAGTAGTACGGGAGATAGAGATCCTTTCCTTGCCTCGCCACCCCGAGTTCCTTCGGTCAGGTCCCATGTCGCGACGCATCGAACAACGTCACAGCGCACAGCAGCCGGTGTTGCTTCGCCATCCTTATCTTTGTTCAGTGTTGATCAAACTCAGCGCCCCGAGGATGCAGCGGCGTATGCGACTATCAGACATAAATCAATACGCAGGAGCATATTGGAGCACTTGAAGGTGGGCTCGTTCCGTCGGGCTCATGCGTCAAAGGACGATGTGGCGTACAGTACTGTTGATACCTTGGAAGATCCGACCATCGAGTCGCCCAGTGCTATTCGTTTTGCGAGTTTGAGGCGAGGCGAGGCCGGTGGTAGTAGGAGCACTGTTGACTGGATGCAGCCGCAGACTATGCGCGAAGTGCAGCGTCCACACAAGACGTACTCACCTGTTATGACGCCGAAGAAAGGCAGGGTTGGGGTAAAAGGTAATAAGGACGAGACGCAGTGGGTGGCAGGGAGCGGATTTAGGATTGTCCGAGAGGATCCAGAGGTCAACACCGCGGAGCATGGTTTGAAGGAACGAGCCACGGCTAATGATAGCAATGGCTCGATCAGGCTTAGCAAGTTTTGGAATTCTGTGAGGAAGAAGAAGGCTGAGCATCAAGAGGAAAGCGCAGGGAAGGCGGAAGCTAATGCGAGCATGTCGAACGTCGATCAGACTGCTGCTGCAGGAGCGGAGCCCCCTTCAACCCCTTCAAAGGATGAGACTGCTGCAAAACCTTCTCTTCAAGTAGCAGAAGAATTGCATGATAAGCTGTCTCCAAAGGAACCGAATACGCTAGTTTCACGACCTTCGATGCCGCGAGTTGATTCCTCGATCCTTCCTCGGAGCCCGCCTTTGCTTATGTCGCCCCCACTTGCCTCTACGCTCTTCTTTACATCTCCATCTGCTGGCATCTTACCAGACCTTTTTGCCAATCAAGCAGGCTCAATCGGCAACATGTTGCCTTTGGTGTCTGTAGTCCCCAGTCCAAGCACTCCTGTGACGCTTGGGAAGAAGAAAGCGAGGAAGACCAAAAAGTTGAAGACTTCAAAGCCTCCTCCACTCCTGCCATTCCCGTCTTACACGACGAATTCGCTTGATCGTACCCACGTGACCAAACCTGTAGGAGCGGGTACAGTGCTACCGACGACTCCGCCCCGGCGTAGTAAAGCAGCGGTCGAGAAGTCGTCACTTAAGCGTGCGGGGTGGACAACAGGTGCTCCACAGTCGTCCTCACCTACTTCTCTAGTCGCCACTCGCGTTAGAAGTGAAGGACGTCGAATTGGGCGAAGTGGCGACACCGCATCACGGGCAGCACTCAGCAAGGTGACTGAAATTATTTCGCGAAGCTATAGTGAGAGGAATATCTAGGTAGGATTGTACCGATACCATGTATCTTAGGAGCACACGTTTCCGTTGTGTCCCGCTTCAACATCGCTAGTTCCAGTTCTGCAAGGTCGTTTGACGTCTGTGAGAGCCCTTTTATTTTGCTAGGAACGAACAGAGACAGGGTTATAGCGGCCCATCAAAATGCACGCGCCAGCTTGCTCGACGTAACGGGGAACAAAGACGGTGTGTCTTCGAGGCCCATTTGCACTGCCCGGCGTTACAATAGCGGGGATCGGGTTGCAACCCTCATCAGTGAATAGAGTCGCTAATAAGGCTGCACGAATGTGTGGAGCGGGTGCCAAGGAACGCCTCCATCAATGTGCCGTACAGCAGCTTGCAGCAATCTTGGATTATCATTGGAATTTACGCTTGTTCCTCCTGAATTGTCACATTTCTTGACTACTCAGCATCGTGTTATTTTTCGGATTAGTAGCAGTGGATAACATAGAACTTGGGGATTGTGTTATTGAGACCAGTTACTTGATTTGGACTGCAACCGGTTCCTAATTGATGGCTAGCCCGGGCCGAGCAGCCCACTCAGGACAGGATCGGGGGTTCACTTTGTGGATCTGGGGACAAGATCGCACGTCATCTGGGGTTAATTATTTCCTTTGGCTGCAAATGTAACCAGAATTAGCCGAGTCTGGGGAACAATTTGCCCAAACCTACGTTCAAAAGCTGTAGGCCCCGTCTTTTTGGCCTGATAGTGGCAGTATATTTTATTACATGTAAACTGGCATGTAATATTTGACTACGATGGAGGGATGTCGCAAGAGGGGCGTGAAATGGTTCAATCTGACGATATTCGAGGTAGTCCCTGGCTTTTCATGGTCATGGTATATTCGACTAACGTGCACATGGGATTCCAGTATATGCAGTATATTTGCACATGGGCTTGACAGCCGCTGGAGGACTCGCTTCAGGAACGGGCGAATCTTGGTCCAACGTTGGTGATCTTCAAATTTAGAAATGGAGATATTCTGACTACCAACGGCACCCAAAAGCACGTCATACCATCCGCTTTTATCGACATTCAAATACATGTGTATCAAATGCGCTCCAAACTAGTCTCTAATCCAATCTGGGATTTGTGATATAAGGTGAGAGTTCATCTTTTTGGCGCTGATATTTTCGGAAGCCACTGGACCGGAATAATGAGCACCAACCAGCATTCGAATACCCCTAGTGTCAGTGAGGCTTCGGTAAAGTCAAAAAATGGCCCAAGACAATACGACGAGGACGTTGATGTCGATGTCGAGAGCTATAGAGAGCTCGTCGAGCAAGAGAGCGACCACGCAATCAAGTTTAGGACGTGTTCGTGGCAGAAGGTAAGTCTAAACTCCTTATCGCGCTCAGGCTGATAGCATGCTCAACGTCTTTGAAGACAGCTGCGCTGTTGTTCTCAGAATACATCTGTCTAGCCATTCTTTCCTTTCCTTGGTGCGCGTGCTTCCTTATCTCTTGGAGATTGCCATTAATCCTTTTTTTTTGTTCAGGTCGTATTCCGTCCTTGGACTGGTGCCAGGGATTATCGTGACACTCGCGGTTGCCGCCATCGTGTTGTACACATCTTTGATCCTTTGGCGATTTTGCCTCAAACATCCCGAAGTTCGTGATGCCTGTGACATAGGTCGAATGCTGTTTGGTGGCTCAGAATGGGCGTACAATGTCACGGCGGTTTTCTTTTTCCTGAATAACACCTTTATACAAGGTGGGATGTCCTTGTTCTCGACATCAAGCTTGTCTCACCTTCAGCTCTTGCAGGTCTTCACGTCCTTGTGGGTGCCGAGCTCCTCAACACGCTTACGGGCTCAGCGACGTGCACCATCGTATTCAGTTTTGTAACCGCCTTCATATGCTTTTTCATCAGCCTCCCTCGTACACTTTCCCAGCTTAGCTGGCTTGGTACTATAAGCGCAGGGTTTACAGCAATAGCTGTACTCCTTGCCATCGTTTTCTCAGGTGTTCAGGACCATCCTTTTGGGTTTATCACAGGTCAAGATCCCATAGTCACCGCATTTCCTATAAAAGGCACAACCTATGTATCTGGTGATTTCAAGCTCGTCTATTACTCCGATTACACCCAACTAAGTCAATGATTTAGGCATGTCAGCTTTCCTCAACATAACGTATACTCTGGTCGGCCAAATCACACTTCCCTCGGTGCGTCATAATTGCATGATAAAATTCGGCTAGCCTCTCATTTTAGAATGACGTAGTTTATTGCTGAGATGAAAGATCCAAAAGAATTCCCAAAGGGTTAGCTTTCAAACTCCCGATGTTTTTCCTTTCTATGTTTACTGACAGTGTAATTTCACAGCTTTGTGGGCTGTCACAATAGCTGAAATTATCGTTTACACCATTTGTGGCAGTCTAATCTATCATTGGACTGGTATGTTTCCATCGGTGCTGATTTGATCTCACACACTTAATGGATCATGTAGGGAATCAATATGTCACCTCGCCAGCCGTTGGCTCGCTTCAGATGACGTATCGAAAAATTGCGTTCTCGTTCACCATCCCAACCATCTTATTCCTGGGATCCTTATATTCAGTATGCTATATTCTTTTCGTGTCAAGTCATTCGTTATCTCATAAATCATATCTACAGTCTGTCACCTCTCGATTCATCTTCTTCCGAATCTTCCGCAACTCACACCATCGCCACTCGAATACCGTACTCAGTTGGTCGGTTTGGATTGGTATTGTCGCTATGACGTGGGTGATAGCGTTCGTCATCGCCGAAGTCATTCCTTTCTTCTCGGACATGCTCAGTCTCATGAGTTCTCTCTTCGGTAAGCCCATTCCATGACGCCATTTCAATTATCACTCACTGACATACCTTTTTCTTTCTGTTATAGATGGGTGGTTTGGGTAACTACATTTTCTTCACTTGGCGAGTTCAATCAATAACATTCCCTGTTCAGGTTCATCTTCTGGGGAATGGCATATCTCCAGCTTTATCCTGGCGCCAAGCGGTGGTCAGGGCCATGGCGGTCGTTAGAAACCGTATTCAACTACTTCCTGATCATCCTTGGAGCATACATCCTCGTAGCCGGTACATACGTAAGTTGATCTGTATCTGCATCTGCATGAGTTTCCGCTCACCACATGTAACATCCTCGCAGACATCAATACAGTCCATCGTGGACTCCTATAACGAGAACCAATTCGGGTCTGCATTCTCCTGTGCGAGCAATGCCATCTAAACCTACCTGTAGCATTTGCATTATACCACTACCAAGCGGACTGCATACATAGCATTCACAAAGCATCGAACGACCTTGTTAAACACAAGTCGTCGTAGGATAGCTCTTACTAATAATGTAACGTTTCTGAGATACTAATGATTTACTGATATCTTGATAAAAATGCTTTCATCGATGTAAGACACCAATCAGATGGTACTGTCTGCAAGTACTGTACTTACGTCCACAGCCATAAAAACTTAGACCACTACTTGCGCCACAGCCGTGGCTGTTCCAGTAGGTGGTTTTGTTCCTCCTAGTACTTACTACTCAGACTCTATCTTCTCAGTAGTGCTGACTGCTACCGCCCATCTGTCAAACTTCAATGATAGGATGTAGTATATGCTCGTACTAGCTCAGGCCGTAGTCGGAAGCTACCAGTAAGCAGTCCAGAAGCACTGGCACTGATAGGGTGTGAGTCGGAATTTTCATTTAGACGGTACCACAAGTTCAGCTGACTCGTGTTGACCATGATTTTGTTGCTGCAGACAAGCGAAATTAAAACTGTCTTACCATTGTTCCCATTTCCTATTCCATAGACTATCGCGTGGATCATGACATTCTAAATGATACCGTTCGACTCGAGGCTGCAGGTCATGCTATACTGTTTGGCTGGTGAGTCTTCGTTGTGCCTCCATCTAACAGTTTATATACTCAGTTCTACGATATTCCGTGTTCTCTCCACTATCTGTAGAACTGTATTTACAGGTCTTCGAATTTTTGAAAAAGACAAAATCAGGGTTAGATATTCCACGGCCTATCGATAACTCCAGGCGGGACTTCAAGTTCCAAACCCTTACCCTACAATGTCTGATCCTCGCAATTCACTTTCACTCGACAGCACTGGCGTTGATCCCGTAGACGAGTCCACCGTCGACTCGGAAGTTGGCAGCTCGAGAGTCATTACCGGGCTGAACTGTGAAGAAATGCTGGCCACGCTACAATGCCCCACAAGTCATCCGGACGACAAGACACAAGGTCCAATCTTGACCTTGGATTACTTGGGCGTGGACTCCAGGTCAGAGTCAGAAGGTACGTTGATATGGCTGCGGACATGACGCAGAGCTAATACGTTTTCTGTGACTTGAGAAGATACTGTTGCAAGTGATTGCTTTGACGGTTGGGACTCGGAGGCTCACTCACATGTTTCGTCCTATTCATCTTGGCAAGGTGAAGAGGATGACGATGACGATGATGAAGATGGGGAGGAGGACGAAACTGATGAGGAAGAGGGAGAGGCGGAAGATGAAGATGAAGATGGAAGTGACGAGGAAGAGGAGGGTGAGGAGGGTGAGGAGGATGCTATTGAGTTGCTCGAATGGAATCACGATGAAAGCTTGGTGGAATCGATCAGAAAGCGAGAATTGTACGAAGACACCTATCATCTAAAGGATTCCTCTGACATAGCATTCAACAGATGGAAAAAAGCAGAGCCGATTGTTCGAAAAATCCATCAGATAATTATCAACAAGAAAAACGATTCAGAGCACTCGACGCTCACTATGGATCCTCGGTTAGATGCTGGGGCAAAAGAAGCAGAGCAAGCTGCGGGACATCCTGACCAGGAGTGTGATGGGGTGATAGCAGAAGCTGGAGATGTTGGACAGTCGATATGTGGTATAGAAGAAACAGAAGGAGTTGCGGCAGATCCTGATCTGGAGCATGCCAGGATACAGGAAGAAATTGCACGCGTCGTTAATTCGGCCTATGGGATAAACATCAAACAAATAGTGGGAACAACCATTATGTCTCAAGATGATGCTGGTAATTCGGTTCCAATTTTCGTGCTTTGTTTCACATTTTCGCAAGACCAAGGCGAAGTTATTACCCCTGTGCAGTCTTGAACCTGGAATCAGGTTTTGTCATCTCATTAATGATACAAGTCATGTTCTTCTCCTACTGTTGCCAGTGAATTACTGAATTACCACGATATCTTCACCGATGCAGAGACTTTTAGCAATCCAAAGCCAAGATCGCAGGAACAGTCTAGCGGTGGCAAGTTAGGCTCATCCTCTCATTTCCGTCTCAGGCTGATGTTGAGTCACTAAGATTGAGTTATTACCATTGGTCACGTTGTTCACTTCAAAGTCATCGCAGGTTCCATATGAGAGAAGGTCCTGAAACTTCTGTCTGTCGACTCTTGGGGTATGCTGCGTCAGTAAGGATTCAAACGCGACCTTGGAGGAGTCTCGACAGACTCGGAAGTTGATTCCGCATTTTCGAGGTCACCGACATTCACGATTACTTTTTGAACTCATGCACCGTCCAGCGCATAGGCATACGACAATGCAGGACATCAAGAAGTTTGTATTATCCGTAATCGCGCAATCACTAGGCTAGGAAAATTTCCAACACTTAAGGTAATCCTAATCCGGTGAACCGCCCAGACTGCCCCTATTTGCATGTATGCCCACCAACTTGAAAAGCATGACGAATAAGTCAAAATTTGCACCTTTTTATCCAGTCTTCTGGCAAGCCAAATTTGTTCAGTGGTGATATCGATACAAATACTGTTAAAACTCTATCCGGAACGCTCGATAAATGCTCAGCGACCCGGACCTCTTACTCTCTGAGTCCTGCTGCCAGAATTCATGATCTGTCGAAGCAGAAATTTTAGTATCCCCCCCGCCTTGGCTTCTTCTCGCGGAAAGAACTTGTCTGATGTTATCGTATAGTCGGCTAGCGCCGATTCCGATTTGAATAGCTTTACACTTTCTCCGGTGCGTGGTGTGTCCACCAGATCAGTGATGTTAACGAACACCCCTTTTATTTTCTAGACAAAAATTCAGTGACTCGACAGAAATAGCAGAGACGAAGCTTGTTTCACCTTTCTGCAGCCAGGGATGGTGTCTGGCAGGGGAGATATCCGCAGGACTTCAGCCAACATCTTCCACGATGCATAGTCATTTACGTCTGTCCCATATATATGGTTGAATTGCTCGGTGAGAGCATCCCTGAAGCGTGCGTACGCAATGTCCCATAGTCTACTAGGCTTTTGGAAGCCGAGGAGCCTACACATGCGGCTAAATTCAGCTCTAGCAGGTGAAGCTGGATTGTATGCGAATGCGGGATATTCAGCAAAAAATGCATCCAGTGGAGTCTGGGACGCCATGATGGGATCCAGTGAGGGTGGCGAGTCGAGGCGTCAACACAGCGCAGCACTATATACCAATGGCTAATAGAAGGGACACACCGTGACAAACACTCTAGTAAAGGAGGCAGAACCTTGGTTTCCTTCGACAACTTCAAGACCCAGGCGGTGACTCGGAACTCGCCATGCATAACTTCTATCAGATAAATAATCGAAGGGCACGCACATGTAAATCTATTCAAGAATGTCGCAAGAACATTGCAACAATACAGTACTCCCCTTGTGAATCTGAGAAGGAAGTATACAGAAATCTGTTAGGTGTCAAATTCTGCCTTCCCATTGACTGCCCTTGGGGTTTCATATCGATATATCGCTCCTGCCACTCACACTCCAATGTCTCTAATATATGTCTCAGAACGTGTATGTGGCAATGGATCATGTGTCTAATGAAAGGGCTTACCTTGTTCTCCCCTAGGCATACCACTCAGGAGGAATACAGTCGTTCCTTCTATCAAAGATTGAGCTTCACGATCACGTAGACAGTCGGAAAGATTCAAAGGAAGTCAGTCGTTCCTTCTCAATAAACAGTGGTTCACTCACGTGCAGCGCCGCGGCCATCGATATCAAAGTCAGAAATCGAAAGGCGGGCATTCAAAAATGGTTGGAATTGGCATGGCATGGCATCAACGATATACAGCGGATGTATATTTCATCGGTGGGGATCTCAAAATCATGAGAAAACCCAATCTGCTCTAAGCAATGACCCCTAATGACAGGAAGAAAATCGTTCCTGAAAATAGAGAAAACCGAGATCACAGCACCCAGAATGTGATTTGGAGGCGACTTTTCCCAGCTTTTCCCATCAGGTTGAGAACCGAAATGATCCAGAGGTCACTGGAAGTTGGTTTCAAGGCGCCATAAGACGTGCTTATGATGATCAAGAATAACGATTGATCACATCATCATCTACGGTTTCTCAACTCAAGTGGGTACGCTTCATAACCGGCTGATGCTCTAATTCCTTTGGTACATACAAACAAGCGTGACGAATCAATCTACACCAAGGGTAACAATCCCTCTAACAAATCGTGTATCTATGCAGTTTATTGGGTCATTAAAATCATGAATGTTCGTAACAGACTCAAGTTGGCACGCTGATACCAAGGACTTCTCTGCGAGATCGAGAGTTGGGGTCAAAGTAAGGGCGTTCACCCACACTGACAGCGCGGTTGCCCTCGCGAGAATCATGATAGTCGTTACTAATGGCGAGAACATGACGGATTAGCTTGCAGAAGTAGAGAAAGATGAGGCTAGACCTACGTGGCAGTGTGGAAAGTAGCTCTATTGTCCCAGATGGCAACGTCATTCTTCTGCCACCTGTAACGGACCTGTAGATCATGGTTCTCTGCGACGTGGTGGAAGAGATGGTCTAACACACGGTCAGACTCTTCCTGAGTAAGCTCAATTATGCGTTTGGTGAAACTGCAAAGAAAAGACGATAAGAGATCATGAATTGAATTTTCCAGGAAGACGTATTTTACGTTTTGTTAACGAAGAGAGTCTTGAAACCTGTGACTGGGTGGGTTCGGATGACAGGGCTGTAGAGGTATCAGCTGTGACCCAATTCAAATTGAGAGGAACATACTGTATAGCAGTCAAGTCGCTGCCCGTATTTTCTGGAGAACCACGAGGGTCTTGAATAGGAATCCCAGTAGCCTGAGATAACTGTGGTGCGATCAGATCCACATCCGTAAGAGGGATAGAGATGATAGTCTTACCTCTACAAAGAAATCAGCGTTGTGCACCGCAGTCAGACCTTCGAGGAATTTCTGGTAGGCTGGTGAAAGTCTGTCATAGGCATCATAACCGCTATTTGAATTTAAAAATGAGATGAGACCATCGTCAAATACTGTTCAAACAAATGCGAACCTTGCCCACTATAAAAGTAGAAGCTACATTAGCAAGGGGCATAAACCTGCCAGAGGCGAATACGTACAAGTGTATCACCTCCCACTAATAGTGCAACGGAGTGAAATATGAGTAAAATGATAGATAGATTCTTTTGATTTTTCCTCACCTTTCGGCAACGTATGCATTTTGAGGATCTGTAGGAGGAAATAATTTAGACTGTGGTGGAACAGGTAATTATGAGCTTGGAGAGAAGCTTACAGCATAGTCAGAAGGGACGTGTTCAAACGTGATATCAGCGTGCCATCCATTACTGGCAAGTTTTCCGGGTTTCAATCCCGCGCGAGATATCCCACTAACATACAAAGCAGTCAGCTCAAAGCACAACAGTGAGGTATAGCTGGGGCATTACCCCATGGAAGAGATCACAGAAACATCGCCACCCAGCTCAGATGTACTTTCTGAGATGGGATGCTTGTGTAAACCGGACGTCTTGGGCTTGCCGGTAAGCTCGCCCAAGCGAGCAACTAGCAATTTCTGTTGCTCGATTCCGATGTCCTGGTCTGTAAAGAAAACAACTCCACGATGGGAAACGAGAGTTGCCAGGTCTTTGATGAGCTCCTCCGAGTTCGGGGCAGCCAACAGCTTGGAAAGCTGGACATTCTTGTTAGGGAAGCGAGTTCCGATATGCAAAGTCTCGTCATAAGACTCGAAGTCTCCGAGTGAACCTAAGAGAGAAAGAGGAGCAGCGACCATGTTGAATGTGTGAATGAAAAGGTAGAAATGATGCGAGGAAAACTAACTGCAGAATGTTAGACTATTAGTATGCAGCGTTAATTCGGCTCACAAGGTCATGGCGATGTCGTGATTATGCCACCTGAGAGAATTATTGCGCTATCCTGGTTTCGCGGAACCACGATGTGCAATCAATGTCATCTGATAAATGTCGCTAGCTTGTAGAGCACACCATAAGATATGTGAGAAGACGTGATTTGTGTGTATCACGTCTTCTAGTGAGGCTCGGAACCTCACTAGAATCTGCGCAGTAATCCGGCAGCAAGCTTGTCGAAAGCTGACTACCGAGTAGTGACGCTAGTGACAGACAAATCATTCTCAGCAACCAATCAATGCAGACAAGCTGGTCACGCTGGGCCAGCATGCCCTAATCTCGTAGCGACTAGCAGTGTTTTTTGTAAGTGGTGTAAGAAAATGGCAACAAAAACATATGAAGCACCCGTATCAGATCCGTGAATATTCTGGACTACTGTCAGAGTGTGGGAAGAGCGCCCTCCATGCGACCCGAAAAACATCATATCCGCGGCGATTTGTTTCTCTTTTGTCGGTTTCGTCCTCAACGGACTCCATCATAACTGCATGGTTGTCACGATGCCAGTGCTCCAGGTGCAAGCCATTCAATACTTGTTCAACATGCCAGTCGTACTGCATCGCTAGCGTTTCTGATTTTCTAGGATTGGATGCGAACCTTGGATTGAACGGGAGAATGGGCGACAGCAATGGCATCGTGGTGGTGGTACGGTCAAGAGAGATGTTATATTGAATCCAAGTGACATAACCGTCCGAATTACACTGGCGCCTTCCCAGGCTCTCACTTATATACAACGGTCTGCGACGTCTTTTTATGTATTCGAGTATTATTATTACCCGGTAAGTCAATACACTTGTCTCCCTCCAGTTATAATTAATCGATAATCCGTATTACAGGACATTCTTCACCCCACCACCTTATGCGCAAAACTTGTTGAGATCAAGCTCACCCTATCCACTTCCACTTGTGCATAACACTGGATAAAGTTTCCCCCTTCAGTGTAACGGTATCTTCACAGTTCATGACGACTCGGATGCTCTACTTTTTGTGCGACGAAAATGCAATTACATCCGCTGTATAAAGCACTAGTTATACGGTTAACTCTAAACAAGATACATATCTGAGGCCATTCTCTGGTGCGAGCCCTCGTGCGTGCTCTATACTGTCATGTTGGACTTGACTATTTGCAGGAAATGATATTGTATTATTTGACTTCGCAAAGAAAACAAGCGTTACCTGTGTAGATGAAAGGTCCACAAGACCTCTACCTAGAATGATCGAGTAGGACTTGTGGGCCACAGGCTATTCACAGAGCATCATGCATGAGCTTGTATGTCTCTTTTTACAGTGGTTGTGGCTGCAGACAGTTGACACGCTGTATGCCGTCCCTTTTCCGCACGTACGATTTGAGAGTTTCATTTTTCTGCATAAACTTCATATGAGCAGCCGGGGGCCTCCTAGTTCACCTGATTTATCTCGTCGGCCCATCAGCGTCCTTGTCCTGCGGATCCAACCGTAACGAATGGAAGCAGGAGAGTTGATCTTCTAAGACACAGCATGCTTAGCGCGGCTGGATTGGAGCTTAGCCCATCAGATGAGTATATATATGTACGATTTACCAAAAATATCTGATCCAGATGTGAGTTTAGTTGTGGTATTTATTGTTTATCTGCGCTTGCTAACAATAACTTGAAACTTTAGGTCACTATCTGCCGCTCGTAGTGGCAGACAGCAGCCTGAAAGATCCTGTTAACCACGTTGGATCAAGTGCAATTTCACCGTTATCAGAACTTTCGGACTTGATAAATGCCTCATGTATACATGTAAGATTGACGAACACTAAAAGTTTTGGTGGTCTGTGGTGACTTAACTTTGCCTAGTTAAGTATATTACTGCTTGTGCGAAGCAGGGCTGTGCTAGAATCTCATGGTCGCGGAGTCACGGCAGTGCTACGTGCAGATTCTATAACGTTATATAGCGTTATCCTGAAGGGAGCCGTGGAACGACGGTGACTGTCATTCTCTGCCGTTCTGGCAGCTGTCTAAAACTGACAGTTCCAATGATTGTGATGCGTCGCGGTTGCTGACTTGGGAATAGTACATATGAAAGGTAATTGCTAGATTACCTCTCCAAGTGAGTCAATTTTATCTGTCCTCTCTCCTTGCATCATAGGAGTGGCAAGGTGCCCGCATTACTATCTCAAACTTACTATCTCCCTGAAGATCCATTGACCTAGTTATGTCTCAAGAGGAGTTGTTTTTGTCTTCTTACATGTAAGCCTTCACTTCTTAGAAAAAGAGGAGGAAGAATCGCATTACAAAACAAATTTACCACAGAAACACGAATTCTGTCATGGTCCTGGTATCATTCTGTGCGTGCCGATCTCTTTCTATGACAGTTTCACCTAAGTATCTGTTGAACTTTAGGCATCATAGTTTATGACTATATGATATCTTTTGCGATGGAGGTCGAGCGATTTTGGTTACGACCCAGTAATATATGGCCAACCCTATTTTTTTTCGTCAATCGCTATTTTTTACTTTTGATACGTGTTCCTATTATGATTGTCTTGGTTTTCGTGAGGTCACCAGATATCTCAAGGCATATTTCAGTGAGTCTCTTACCTCAATTCTTCCGATGTGCGATGTAGCGTCTTTTTCATCTTTTTTAACAGACGTTTGTGTAGTCTTCTCGCTTTTTCTGTCTATGCTCAAACCTGGCGAATGTTAGGTGCAGCAGCTTTTCGACTGCCGACTTTATTACTATGATGTTAAGCCAGGTTTTTGGTGGAGGTCACATGTGTTTTATAACGTCTGAAGCTTGCGCTGAACCCTCATATAGTCCTGATGATGATGAGAGTTTATGCGTTATACAACCGAAGCCGCTGGTTGATTTATGTGCTTGTGGTGATGGGGATAGCACTTGTCGCAGGAGGTTGTGTGAGTGGAAACGCTTTCCTTTGATATTTACTTAGATTGACAATTTACTTCAGGTGGCTATCATTCCAGTAGCTCCTGCGGTTCCTGTTAACCTCCCTTCGATTTATATACCATCAACAGGGTGTGGGGATCCTATTTCATCAGAGCAGTGAGTTTTCTTGTGACTATACAGGACTGGTACTTATTTCCGAGCATTTCGTCAGGGGTGTGCGTACGTATGAACATTTATAACACTGACGGGTCCCTGACTCCGGTTCCCTTCCTCTTTAGGTCTAGCGGGATCATGGGGCAGCTTGCTGGCGTTTGATACCTTCATATTCTCGCTGACAATCTGGAAGACCTGGCGTATCGGGTCTGTCAGTGGACGAAATTTGATTAACATTCTGATGCGAGATGGTAAGCGGTGCTTACACAGCTTTTAACGCAAAGAAGTTTAGTGACGGATTTCCCCTATTTGTTGTTGCGCCCCATCAGGAGCTATGTATTTTGCGTAAGATTGACCACTTGCTCTCATTTACTTATAATGAATACTGAAGACACACAGGGTTATGATCATGATCAACATTGTCAGCATCTTGGCGTATTTGGTATGGCTTCATATCTTGGGCCTTTGATCAATACTCATACATACTGTTGGTTTGATATTGACAGCTTCCTCCAGTGAGTACCATCAACTTAGTTTGATACATCTGATCTTCAAGTCTTCTTATGTATTGGCAGCTAGGACTCAAAGGGATCATCACGACGACCGCAAACGCGTAAGTTACATTGCAATTCCTCCTGGCATAGCACCATAATGCTTAGCTTGGTATATTCTCTTTCAGATTATCAGGGACAATGGTCTCCCGAATGATGCTCAATATCCGCGATCCTCATTTAACTGGCTACACAATTTCGAGTTTGAGGACTGGTGACTTACCACAAGTTACCACAAATTACGCCCTCGAACCCATGACTGTGTCATCAACGTCATCTGTCAGAGTGGTCACAGATGATGTTATAGAAGACATAGGTTGGTTTTTATCCTCACCGTTAAGGCTTCAACTTAGTATATTCTGGAAAAGGCGCCAGCGATAACATTATAGAAATCCCTCGCGAACGTCGACAATAAAATTTGTTCTTTTATGAGTTACGGTATTGACGTGTACACTAAAATCTATAGACTCGCCACATTCATCGATTGCTCATGTCTCCACAAATGTATTTTCACTTATACTACACCCATAAACACCAAACCCCGAAAGGAAATTATTGAAATTGAAGTGTCAGCGTTTTCTGTATCTCATTTACTGATATCGACTGTCATATCGGTGATTTGGTCTGAGGAGACGTCTTGACTAGATCTGTATGATTCTGCGTTACTAGTACGTCGCAATCTGAAGTTAAAACGTAAACATTTGCCGTAGTTGCCAATCTGCGATCTCATCAACTTTGACTCCTTAACATGACCTTAACATGACTGCAGGATACTGTCCTGTGAAGATCTGAATGTGTTACCATCTTGTTACTTTTGAACTTTCCTTCCATGCCAAATGTATGGTGGACGCGTCCGATAATCTGCGGCCTCTTACATTAAACCCTTCTTCTTCAACTCACCACCACCAGCGGCAATCTGAGTCGAGCACTTTCGACCAACGTCCTACAATTACCTGATATTCGTGCGCACTATAAAAGCTCGAGTCTAAGGATGGATTTCGTTTTGTGAGTTATCTCTCAAGTCCTCCAGTGCTTGAGCTGATGGCCGATAGCAATCAATCAGAGTTTCTCCTTTCACAAAACTTCTCACACATAGTCGCTTTCTCTTGACTCTTCGTTCTCAGGAAGATCATTATCATTCTCTCATTCTCTTCCGTCTTTCTGCTACATCACAACCAGAAAACTTAGAGCAGTCCCAAAGCTCCATATCCTCTGACGGATGTAAAGATTTACCTTCAAGTCATCCATACAGGCAACTGTATGCGATGGAATCAGCATGTCCACATCTTGGTGCAGACATGTCTCATGCAGATATTGAAGAATGCGAGTCTAGTCTCGTTGCAGTTTGCCCTTGGCATAGGTATTGTTTTCAGCGACCCTTCACCCTTCAACCCTTCAAAGTCTAATCATTTCCTACCAGATACGACTTTGACCTTCGCACTGGCAATAGCGAAACTGGTCTCAAAGCTTGCACATACGCCATCGAAGTCAAGAACGATCCTTCAGATGGCATAGATAAAGTTTGGGTGGAGGCACCAGAAGGGGGAACTAACTGGCGTATTGTCGAGCTGAGGCCTGTATCTGAAGGTTAAATACTCCTTTATTCTTTGCGACGATGAGATATATGGCTGACGAATTTGGTGTTTAGAATTCGCAGATCCTCCTCCCATTTCAGCAGATCCAGATCCGCTGGTCAACCAAGCTGCATCAATTTCTCCTATCGAGGAGGACGTGGTTCCTGTAAAAGACGCGCCAACTACGTTGATGCAATGGGCAGTTCTCATTCTGAACACCGCCAACCCCACCTTGAAGGTTAGCATATCTCCCCCTAGCCGTGTAAATGTGCCCAAGGAAATATATCTCATTCATATTCGTCATACCAGGTTCAGCGCACTAAACATGCTGTTCATTTGTTTCGAACAGGTAAACTATCATCCATTGGTAACAAGTCCCCCACGGCACCGAAACCACCAGCGGTTCCTCCAAGAGAAGACAGTTATACTCGAAACATCGTCGATCCTAGAAAATCAGGAAAAAAGAAAAATGCAGCTGTCATGCTTCATGCTTTGGCAAATATCGAACAGTGGGCGTGAGTACACTATGACCCATGCTTTGGACTTGCTGGTACTCAATATTGGCATAATCTTCTAGCATCGATCTGGCGTACGTCGCATACCTGATTTTTTTTAAAATATATAGATGAGACTGATCATTCATCTGTACAGCTGGGATATAATCGCGCGGTTTGGGCCATCTCACCCCGATATACCACATGCCTTTTTCTCTGATTTTACTAAAATGGCCCTCGATGAATCCAAGCATTTCACTTTACTCACCTCTCGACTACTTGCTACGTCTCCAAACACCCCGTACGGCAGTCTTCCGGTGCATGCAGGTCTTTGGGAGTCTGCCACAATAACTGCGCACTCGCTGCGGGCTCGCCTTGCAATTATTCACCTCGTACACGAGGCCCGTGGACTGGACGTAAACCCAGGGACAATTGATCGCTTCCGCCGCACAGGAGACAAGGAAAGTGTAGCAGCCCTGGAAGTAATACACGCGGATGAAGTAACCCATGTGACATCTGGGCATCGATGGTTTACATGGATCTGTGAGCAGCAAGGAGTAGACGCTGTAAGTACGTTCAGAGAAGAAGTAAGGAGGGGTTGGAGAGGAGATATCAAAGGCCCTTTTAATGCGGAAGCGAGAGAAACAGCAGGTATGACGAGAGAATACTATGAAGGTTTGAGAGGGGAGATGGATTTTGTCGACAAGAGGACTGATGCCAGTGCCACGGTGGATCATGATGAAAGTATGGCGCCTGCAAGTGTACGGGTGGAGTACGAGGGCTGATATGGCTATGCCAGATCGTGTGTAGTACCGTCAATATACACAATGATCCGGTGTTCAAAGTATCTCAAATCAGGTTTCCGAAGCTTCTCAACGAGCTACACATGTCCTTCATCAACCAATACGCTGAAGAAAAAATTGCGCACAGTTCAATAACCGGATCGATTCATGAAAGAATAATTAGTAGCGAATGGGATCTGAAGGCCCAACCGTCTCCCGCCGAATCTAGATGGTAACTGGAACGCACTAGGTACAGCAAAAGTTTGTCCTGGACAGGCGTTTGCGGTACCTAGTACGCTGGTTGACATCAATGGAGTTGTGCGAATTGGGCCGTGTACGAAAGGGTTATTGTCCGCAGTTGCTAACAGTGGTACTGACGAAACTATGAGAGAGCTTGGAATCAACTGGACAAAGGCGAAGTGGTGTGTAGAAACAAACAAGAGATAACGCCAGACGACTCCACTGTTGCGTTCTTACATCTCGCCGGGATTCCTGACAACCCAATATATAGTATGATGTGGCGTGCCAGTGACAGACTCGAAGCCCCTCGAGACAACTTGAAAACAAATCGAGGAAAAATCAGTAACTTCTCGGAAGCCCTACCAAAACACAATGGCGAAATGGTGATTAATCAATCATAAAGCCAGTCTGGAAGGCAATAGCGGACTGTAACAGAAGTAAGCAATTGGATGGGGACAAGTCATACTAGACTGACTGCACATTCTTCTATTTGAAAAGCGACACACCTAGTGCAGTACTTAAGGCAAGTCCAGAGTAACATAAAGCGTCTGAAATACCGGACCACCACTCGATTCGATGTTACCATCGCAACGATTGGACCCACATCGGTTACCGTGATGGTGGTGATCATTGATGCAACCTCATCAGTGTATTGATAGACACCAACGCCTTGTGTAATAAGTACTTCCTTCACCTCACTATGATGATGGATTTACTGCGAGTGGTCCAGGCGGATGCTTCTTTAGGCATCGCCTCTGAGCAGGTTGAATTCAAGGCTGTATCACTGACAGTTGCAATCTCAGACTGTCATCGCGTGCCAAACAGTAGCACGGATCCTTTTTTGGTGGTATTCAATTGCAAGTTGTAAGGCCGCTACTTACTTCGAACTTGATTCCCCTTCTATTCCCTGTTTTTTCTTACTTCTTATTTGTAACAGTAAACTAAACGTCTGATGTTCAACAATTCTAGCAATGTTGATGCGAGTCATTCAATGTTCAACGAGGTGCATCATGATATGTACAATACGTCCAGGTCACTCGTACAAGGAAATCAGAACATACATAACGTCGTATACGGAAATCAAACAACATACTTCTCTAGTAAGCTTCACAAAATTTACAGATCGTATCTCTAATCGCTATCGTACGCAGCTTACCACCCGGGACTTGAGACCTTGCAAAAGGCTTGTGCGATGAGTGCAGCATTCGACTCTGCAGCTCGACATCCAGCGCCGGCTTGTCTTCCAGGCACTCGTGTTGAAGTCCTTAGTCTGCTCTCCGATTGGCTAGATAAAGATGGTGGTTCGCCGATTTGCTGGTTGAATGGTTTGGCTGGCTCGGGTAAATCAGCAATCGCCCAAAGCATTGCTGAGAAATATGCAGGCCAAGGACGTCTTGCCGCAAGTTTCTTTTTCTCTCGCAGAGAGGTACGGCGCAGCACAGCACAAACATTCTTTCCGACTATATCTCTCCAGATTATGTCTTTCTTTCCATCGATCAGACCAGCGGTTCTCAGTGCTATTGACGATGACGGCTCTATCCCAACAAAAATCCTTCGCGAACAAATGCAGCATCTTATCCAAGAACCCTTATTATCACTCAAAGAATCATTGTCGTCACCTGCTGTCATTGTTGTCGATTCTCTGGACGAGTGCGAGCACGATTACATGGTTCTCGAACTAATCACACTCCTCGCAGAGCTCCTGCGGGCGTGCACAATTCCCTTGCGAATCTTATTCACAAGTCGAACCGAGTCTCATATACAGGCAAAGTTTAACGAACCAGAAATACAGGTCATGACACACGCGATGGAGCTCCGCGCTTTTAACGCTGAAGATGACATCCGTTCGTATCTGAAACACTCTTTTGGAGAGATCGTAGAAAGGCACCAGATTTTGCGTCACGTTGCGGCACCTTGGCCCAGTGAACACGATTTCAACAGCGTAGTTGAAAAGTCATCTGGGTTATTCATATTTGCCACCACTGTAGTAAAGTTTGTTGAGGACAGGCACCACGATCCACGCATGCGACTCGGAAAGGTCCTGAATGAAGAAACAAGCAGCGATCCAGCAAGCTCAGCCTACACAGATCTTAATATACTTTATCTCGACATCATTTGCATTTCTCCTCAAGTCGATCATTGTCAACTACTATTGGGCGTCATTCGATATGTCTCCGAGCCTATTTCCATCCATGACCTTGATATCCTACTCAATGCTCCTGATGTAGATGTCAGGTTTGTCCTCTCTGCGTTAAAATCGGTGATCCTAATTCCGGACAACGAGGACGAGGAAGTCCGGATATATCATACTTCGTTCGGAGAATTCCTCTCCAATCGCGAGCGGTCAAAGGACTATTTCATTGATCCCGACACACATCATCACAACATCGCGCAATTATGCTTGCAGCTCATGGTGAAACAACTGAAACGTGATATGTGCGATATACGGGACCCTTCAAAGCTGAATAGCGAAGTTGAGGACCCTTGCAGACCGTCGCAAGCGCTATATCAATAGAGCAACAAGCTACTCTTGTCGTTATTGGTCTTTTCATTTGTCTCGTGTACCGCATAATGGTTCGCTGGATGCCTCGTTAGTGAATGTTCTACGGGAATTTGCTTCCAAGTCATTGTTATACTGGATGGAAACCTTGAGCCTCCTTGGCGAATTAGAGGGTGCCGTGTCAACGTTACATACAGCTATACATTGGCTGAAGGTTCTTCAATTTCGTTTTATTCTTCTCTATTGGTTCTAATGCGAAGTTTGGCCACAGGGTCTTTCGGAAGTCCCTGCCGATGTTTTGCAACTTATGAATGACGCTGTGCGGTTTGTCCTGATGTTTTTGGATGGTATTGCTCAAGCTGCATTGCATATATATTACTCGGTACTTCCGCTGACGCCGACATCCACCCTACTTCGCAAGACTTACGACGATGAACTCATCGGGACATTCACGGTGCTATCAGGCATAGAAAGTGACTGGGATGCTTGTACTCGGAGTGTCACGGTCAAAGGATGCGTCACTTCTCTTGATTTCTCGCCTGACGGAAATATGGCTGCTTCTGGATCAGATGATGGTGTCCAACTATGGAATGCAACTACTGGCAACAATATCGCAAAGCTCGGTATGCCTGTAAATCCCTCATGCCCCGTAGCTTTCTCTCCTTCTGGTTCTTGCGTCGCTGCTGGTTATGATGATGGCCTAGTTGCCGTTTGGGATACACTGTCCGGACTATCTCTCGTTAACAACAAAGAATGCCATGAAAAGCAGGTTTCTGCCCTCGCGTTTTCATCCAGCGGGGACCTCCTTGCATCTGCTTCCAGTGATGCAAGTATACAATTGTGGGACGTAAAGAATGGCCGTCCCCTTCGAAGATTCTCGGGCCACAGTAGTCGTGTCAGCCTGTTGATGTTCTCGTCAGACAACACCAACTTAGTTTCTGGATCTGACGATACGAATATCATCGTTTGGGACGTCATGAATGGTCGCATGCAGCATATGTTGAAAGGACACAAGGATCCGGTCAGGTCCGTTGCGATATCACCCGATGGCGCATACCTAGCTTCTGGCTCTGATGATAAAACCGTTCGAGTCTGGGACGCAAGAACAGGTACTTGCATTAAAATCTTGAAAGGTCACTCGAAGAGCGTCCAATCAGTGCAGTTCACAAGCGATAACCTACATGTCATATCTGCTTGCTGTAGATTTGTGTTTCGATGGGTCATTGCGTCTCGCAAATCAAAAGATACCCTCTGGGCGCTAGACGAATATGCACAGGAGGCAATGAAGCGCGTGCCATTTTGGGCGGTCAAAGCTTTCGGATTTCTACACACTCGTTTGGTCGGGTATTTAATGGAATATAGCTTGAGAGATTCACTCGCAGTTCAAATGCGTGTTTGCTATTCCAGCAATCTTGACACCTACACGTGTTCTCTTGGAAAACAGGCGTGGCACACCCCAACTGTCACACCCATAGCTCGCAGTCCCCCGTCCTTCAACAGTTTCAGCGAGCTCATCACAGCTCTGTCAATGTCACCAGATGCTGCACGGGTGATGACAGGTGAGCAAGGTTTCATACGGTTTTGGGATGCTAATGTGCACACCAATGGTTGGGACCATACTTTGCGCCTTATGAACCAACGTTCCAAGTTCTTCGCATCAGCTCCTGACGGGCATCGGTTTGTCATAGTACGGCTGCTCGACGTTTTGTTGGTTGATGCGGCAGGTTCACTGGTGAAATCACTGGTCAGCTCACCAACGGACGCTGATGGGCGCGCACTTTTCTCTCCAGACTCGACTAAAATTGCTTACTGGGGGGAAGATTCGGATCTTCACCTATACAGTTCCTCCACTGGTCGTCGCCTGGATAAACTTGACGGCGATATTGACGACATCTCTTGCGTCGCTTTTTCGCCTGATAATAAATACATTACCGCTGGTCTCACCGACGGCACTATCGAGGTGTGGGATTTGTCATCCAACAAACGTTTGGTCAAGGTCAAATCTGAGCTCCCCTCTGTCACCTCCATCGTGTTTTCTCTAGACCATACTAAAATTGCATGTGGCTCGGCAAAGGGTGGCTTACGAGTCCTGGATGCCCTTATAGGTCATACAATATCGAAATTTGATGGTCCTGCAGAACAAGTGACGGCTCTGAACTTTTCTCGAGATGGAGAGCTTGTTGCTTTCGGATCACAGGAAGGATCTATTCAGCTACTGCATCATTCAACAGGTGTCTGCCGTCCACTCGCCTCAAAAGAGAATGCTATGTCGACTGCTATCGATTTCGTTGAATTTTCGGACGATAATTCAAAGCTGACGTGCAGGAATACAGATGGTGATGTCACAGTCTGGGATAGCGTGGTCGAATTAAATGGAGTGGACGGTGAAGAAAGTGGCCCAGCTGAGAAGGATGAAACTTGCAATATTGAAAGTCTCAGCCCTCCGCTTTCGTATTTGATTTCAAGGACAGAAGATGGCATATTGGGAGATTCTCTTTTCAGGCCTGGATATGTTTTGCGCAAAGATGGCTGGATTCTCGACGACAAGAAAAAATTGATTTGGCTCCCGCCATCTTTCCGACCGACCGAATCCAAGTCGACATCGCTTATTGTAGATGGGGACAGGTTAATTGTATTGGGTGTGTCAGGGTTTCCCTTATTTTTGAATCTTGCTGTGCTTCGCTCCTAGGACTGTGGTAATCTGTAAACCATCATTATAAAATGTATCCAACTGTAAGTTCTTGTTTGAGATGTACGTGTATAGTAATTGTTAGTACTTGTAGAAAACAAAATGTGAAACTAAGTTTGTGCTCGAGAAGGAGAAGTTCCTATATTTTGACGAAAGATAACACCCAAGCTGAGAGTGCAAAGCAACACTAATGTTGATGATTTCGGCTGAAACGTAAATGTAAAACCATGACTCACCTTAGACGTTTCCTCTAACGAACACAGTTTTGAGCTTTAGCCACCTTTGTGACCGTCGTAGTCGTGGTAGTTACTGTTGTTACGTACGACTCTCCACCGCTTGAACTACAGACATCATCCATCCCAACGATAGTGCTCGTGCTGTCGTCATCAATTTCACTACCGGACCGAGTGCTCCTCACTTCCGTCTTCAGTTCGTCAGAGGAGAAGCTACGGGTGAAGCACCGAGTAGCCTGCCATAATCTGCTTGCTTCATATGGCTGCTTTCGTTGTAGCTGGACCTAAGGAAATGAAGAAAATTAACGAGGTGTGATGATCTATTAGTAACCCCCAAGATAAATATCTTTACGGTGCAAAACCCTCTTACCTTTGTTCCAGGGACAGAGCTCCCAGTACCACCCAGCGAAACAACAAGTTCCATGTCTGGCCAGGAAATTCTGGATACACTGTTGTGTCAGCTCTCAGGCTCATACATATTAATACATATTATTTATACGGGTTTCTGGGTTATATTAGAGTGTTCGACTCACATGATGGTCTCATGTAGTGAATTACCGGGCTCAACGCACCAACTCACTGGATAGGGGCTTGCAACAAGTGGGGCATTGCAGTCAATGCTCTGAACAGTGAGGTAAAGGCCGGTGGACATGCTTTTGATAGCGTATCCTGCACCAAACGGTGTGAACTCCCACTACATGATAACCACCGCATGGTCGGATTTAGGACAAATATGGCAGAGGTTCAAAACCTAGGGACAACGTAGGGAAACCCACCTTTTGATTGTCTCCATCGTGAGCAGGGAAGCCTAAGAGAAGCGTAGGTCAAACAACGAGACATTTAAGTCTGTGTGAAGATCATTTGAAGGGCTGACCTATGATTGATCTATAATCACCACCCGACAAGTCCATCGCAGAGCCGCCTATGCAATTAACGAGCTTGTATATTCCAGGCTGCATCGTCTAACTATTTTACGTGTGCTTGTTTTGATTGATTCAAGGTCTTCACAAGGCAGCTCCTAGCGAAATGGGTAGCTTTCTTTTCAAGGCCCTAAACCACGAGGCTGCGGATTGTATACGGCGCAGTGTGATAGTTAACTTGCAGTGATAATTTGAAACTAACCGTTCAGCGTGTTTTTAGGTCGTGGAGAAGGTAAGCCAGTACCAGTAATGCACTGTGAACGTGTCCGGGAACCAACAGCGAGTACTACTAGGTCTGGAACTCCAAGTTCGGAATTCGGATCCGAGTGCAGTAGTTATCTTACTAGTATGCGGGGACAACTCCATCAAAGATGAATTGCTGCTTTACACCTTCATTCTGTTTATCAAAAGCGAGCAATTATGATGGGACCACCGGAACTGCGAGATATTTTAACCTGAGACCAGATAGCGAGGGGTGAGTGGAATATCGGGAGAACCTACCTTGTAGTCACTGAAACTTGCAATGCAGAGTTTCAGACATATCGGCCTGGAAGATATTTTGTGATCGTGACAAGGAAACAAATGGTTCCCTTTCGACTCCGCTTCAGCATCATGAGAGTATAGTAGTCTGTGCATTTTTGCCTGTGTTTTTAGCCAGTTGTGGTCAGTTCGGAATTCCAAGTCGGACTTGGAGATGAGATCACACCATTGTTCCTGCTAAGTACTTACTACTTAGATCAAAGCTCCAGTGCTTCATGACAAAACCGGATAAACCCGGTCTCTGCCAAAGCAGCCATTGTTCTCCATGGAGCATAGCCACCACTCCATGGAGTAACCATTGTTCTCCTAGGAGCACAATTGTACTCCTAGGAGTCATTATACTGTAGCGAGTAGCACCTCCGACTATAAGTAGTAGGGGGTTTAGTATAGGAATACCTCAGTCGTTTCTATAGCCTCTCGGGCAGCGGCTGAGGTATGTTACATTACATTTATTAGAGATCACCTTAAACTAACATTTATTGTAGTTTCACTTAGGTAAATAATAAAGTCGTTTCTATAGCCTCTCGGGCAGCAGCTGAGTTTCACTTAGTTTTATTAGGTTATGAGCCCTGGTGCACAAAAGCTACGCAGGAAATAATTCTTATTTGAAATGGCAACCTCAGAACCATGACCACAGCATGCGATACATCTGCATGTCCAGTTCTCACTGGACCCAACAATTTTCAGATATGGAAACTCCGGATCATCTCAAAGCCATGTCGGGAAAAAGTTCTCCGGGTTGTTACTGGAGAGGAGCTTAAGCCCTCACCAGGAAAACCTACCTCCTCGGAGGATCCTGAGATCACCTGGATACTTAAGGATGAGAAGGCACATAGAATTATCCAGGACCACATCTCTGATGCCCTCCTAATGAGGACTGGAGACCTCATCAACTCCAAGGAGTTATTTGATAAACTTGTCTCACTCCATCAAACACCCAACATTGCCTCGGCCTTCTATTCATTCCAGCAACTCACCAAATTGTCCTGGGATGGGACATCACCTATCCAGGACCACATTGCAAAAATCCGGACAATTGATTCACACCTCTCCGGAATGAAACTAGGAGTTGATACCAAACTCATGGCTTTTGCTCTTCTCCAATCTCTCCCATGCACTCCTGAATGGCAAATATTTCAGTCATCAGTAATCAACACGATTGAAGAAAATAAACTTACCTTTGATGCAGTTGAGATCCGGATCACTGCAGAAGTTGCACGACAGTCAGGAAAGGCCCCTGGAGGTTCCGAATCAGCACTCAAATCTGAGGAGAAATGGTGTAATTTCCACAAAGCCAAATCACACAACACCTCGGAGTGTCAAACACTTCAGTCAGCTGAAAAAGGTCAAAGGAAGAAGGGAAAGGAAAGACACAAGGATAAAGGAAAAGAGAAGGAAAAGGCAAATACAGTGGAGCAATCATCCGGATCTGACTCTGAGGAGGAACAGAGTCATATTGCATTGGATCATGTACATATTTCCAAGCCCCTTGCTAAACACATTCAAGCTTACCTTGTGTCGGAACCCAATAAGACCAAAACAACAATCATCATTGACTCCGGAGCAACATCCCACATGGTCCCTCACCACTCCTGGTTTGAGCCAGGAACATACCATGTTCTGCATCCTCCGAGGACAATCAGTTTTGGGGATGAATCCTCTGTAAATGCCATTGGCATTGGAACAGTAATCCTACAAGCAACTGTTGGCAAAAAGGACTACAATATTGCACTGTCAAATGTCTTACTTGTGCCAAACTTCACATTAGCACTTGTCTATGTCCACAAATTGTCCAAAACGGGGTTATCAACACTTTTTCCAGCAGGGTCAAATGCTTGTGAAGTTCGGAAAAAGGAGGAACTTATCATCACTGCGTTACACAAACAAGGACTTTATCACATCCAAGCAAAACCCGAAATCAACCCGGAGTCAGCTTTTGCAGCAGTAGATGTAAATTTATTGCACAGGAGAATGGGACACATTAGAATGGACTGCTTGCAACAAATGGTTACAAAAGGACAGCTCCAGGACATAGACACCCTTACCGGAACCCCGGAGTTTTGTGAACCTTGTGCTTTAGGAAAGATGAAGAAATTACCTTTCAAGTCCACTGGAGGAAACCGAGCCAAGCGCCCCATACAAATTGTGCACACAGATGTTGGAGGACCAATCAAACCAACTTCCAGGGAGGGTTTTTGGTACTGGATTATCATTGTAGATGATTTTTCCAAATTTCCATGGATATATTTCCTAAAACATAAAAGTGAAGCACTGGAACGATACAAGCAATGGAAAGAAGATATCCAGACATTCTTCTGGACTCATTTGGGAGAAGAAAACTTCACTCCACTGTACACAGAATTCCTCCGGAGCGATGGGGGAGGAGAATATACTGGCAATGCATTCAAAAATCAACTCTGAGGAGATGGTGTCATCCAAGAAACTACAGCTGCAGATACTCCGGAATAAAATGGCATTGCAGAACGCATGAATCAGACATTGGCTACATTAGCAACCACTATGCTCCATGATTCCAAGCTCCCAAAGTCATTTTGGGTAGATGCCATGCAAACAGCTACATATATCACAGCACGCAGCCCAGCATCAGGACTCCATGGAAAGACCCCATACAAAATACTGTTTAAAAGGAGAGTTGATCCAACTTTGTTTCGCCCTTTCGGATGCCAAGCATATGCCTTGATTCCGAAAGACAAAAGGCAAGGGAAGTTTTACTCCAAGGGGCGCAAAGCCATAATGATTGGCTACACACATGGAAAGCAAGCCTACAAACTCCTAGACACTGAAAAACGGACTGTGTTTTCCAGTCGGCATGTCATATTCAATGAATCCGGAAAGGTACAAAAGGACGACACTGCTCCCTGGAACACAGACACTAGCACAGATCAGTGGGAGGGACTCATTCCAGAGAATGCTCACTATCCAGACCAAAATACATTGGAGGAGGATGATCCTGACCCTCGGATCCGAGATCCAAATGAATTGCAAATGGAACCATATCAGCATGAAGATGTTCCGAGAGCAGTGGGGCAATACCTCCGTGGAGACGTTCCAAGAGCAGTGGGAGCACCTGATCAGCTAAGACACCCTCCACAACAGTCTCTACAACCAAGACCTGAACACTGGCCATCTTCAGAACGGAAAGCCAAAGTAGAGTCACAGTCAGTGGGAGGACAGCCCATCAACGTACAGCCAGCTGATGTGGAAGAAGTCCGAATACAGCTAGACAGCCTGTCCATTGGATCAGCTTCTGGAAGGCATACAACACCTCCAAGGAGTCATCCAACACCTCCGAGGAGTGATTCAACACCTTCAGGAGTGAGTGGGGCAACACACACACAAATGCGTCTACTCCCTGGAGTACCTGCACAAGTTCCTAAAAGAGCAGTCATGCCTGCTGAAGTCCTAGGAGTATGCAGAAGCAGTCGCCGGACCCGTCCTGCAGACAAAAACCGAGATTATCAAAGGACTCTAGATGAGGAACAGTCTCAAAAAGAGCAGCATGACAACTCCATGGAGAAACTTAACACTCCTGAGGTTCATGAAGAAACATCTGATACAGAGGAGACATTCTTTGCTGGAATAGCAAATACTGGTCCATCTAACACAGACCTTCCAAGGACACTAAAGGAAGCCTTATCACGTCCGGATAGAGAATTATGGAAGTCTGCCTTGGAGGAGGAACTCCTAAGTCTCAATACTAATGCAGTATATGACACTGTTCCACTTCCGAAGGGAGTGAAACCCATCACATCAAAACCTGTGTTCCAGATCAAGCTTGATCAAAACGGAAACATTGAGAGATACAAACTCCGGATTGTTGCATGAGGTTTTACTCAAAGGGAGGGGATTGATTACCAGGAGGTTTTTGTTAGAATATACTCTGACATACCAATACTCCATAGGATAATACCTCTGGTTTGTAAGCCAGCCCAGTATGCAGCAGCTATTCTGTGTAAGACGTCCGTGGTTGCATGTCATGTTTAAGATCCTATATTGTATAACCTTGGCCATATAGCTCAATTGGTAGAGCAGCTGGCATGTATCCAGAAGGTTCCAGGTTCAATCCCTGGTCTGGTCAATATCCAATTTTATCAGTTTTTGCTCCGGTTGCAAACTTAGAGTCAATCCAAATTATTCTAGCCCTGGCAGCAAAGTACGACCTAGAACTTGATCAAATGGACGTATCCACAGCTTATCTCAATGGAAAACTTGAAGAAAAACTGTACATGCTTCCTCCAGGGGGTGTTCCTATCCAACCTGGATACTGCTGGAGATTGAAGAAATCCATCTACAGATTAAAACAAGCTGGTTGTATATGGAACAAAACTTTTGATTGCAAGCTCCAGGAGCTCGGTTTCACAAGACTAAATGCAGAAACATGTCTCTATGTATTCCAGGACAACAAACAAATATGCTTTGTTGTTGTCTATGTAGATGACCTCCTCTTAGGAGCTTCATCCTAAAAATTCATGGATATCACAAAAGCCAAACTCGGATCCATATTCAAAATGCGGGACCTTGGAGAAGCAAAATACACCCTCGGAATAGAAATCCAACATGATTGTTCAAACAAAACAATATCCCTATTGCAACGCCAATACATTGACACAGTCCAGGAGCGTACTGGAATGAAGAACTGCAAACCAGTATGGACACCAATGGCCCATGGATCAAAACTCCTCGCAAACACTCCAGGGGAAGATATTG